CTAGGAGGCCAAATCTACGAAAATACATCCAAACGACTGGCATCCACTTTACAGAGTTTTTTTTCAAAATGCAGGCCTCACGAATTGGTATAATAAAGTGCTCCATCTATAGATTTTCCAACCCCAACCTTCACCTTATCTAAGAGCCAAGTTAAGTTTTGACCTGTGTAACTGTGAATCCTTTAGTGTAAACATACCATTCTAGTAATTAAGCATCTACAGAGGCTCAAATTTGGTCGCATGAGCTAAAGTAATGTATTATTCAATTAAGCAACCCTAGGGAAATTTGGTTTTCTAAATTAGGACGTAGCCAATAGAAATGGTAGGAAAAAATTGTCATCAGGAAACTTTAGTCATTCAGGAGATCAGTTTTTAACCATTGTGGAATTTGCACTTTGGCACCGGAATATTTAATCACCGTTCAATCAATATGCTAACGTGGCATATTCTATTATTTCTGTTATTTTTTGTTTTATGGGCAACGACACCAGAAACCATCAACCCCTCTCTTTTTAAGCAGTGCAACGAAGGCGAACTTTTGGCTTCGTAATCGCATTTGTAAAATCGCATTTGGCTGCTTGCAACGTTGACTTTACAATAAAAAATGCTGAATATGGGACGTTTTCCTCCACTTCCACTTTCTCTAGCTTTTATCCCTTTTTGAGTTACTTTAAACAGTTAAGTAATATGATCATACCGCAATCTTTGATGAATTCGCCAGATTCTGTTCACTACCACAATGAGAGCACATAAGAGACCCAGGTTTGACCTGATGAGTTGTCCTAACTGGTCGATGATAACTTTGTCCTTGATGTAGCGTTGTACAAGGAAGCAAATTGGCCTTCAGTAAAAGACATTACGTTTCTAGGCTTAGGACTTAGTTCCTCGCCACCTGAAGACTTAAGATCAAGCCACCTTGATGTTAATCTTTAAAATTAATAATACCGAAGCAGTGAAATTGTGATTGCAACTTTGTAATCAGGGACTTCCCAAGTTTGGAAACAGATGTGCTCACTCCTACACAACGACTGTTTGGTGGAATTTGTAGCGAGATAATTCTGACGCACTTGATTTCATTGTTTTCAACACATTTCGCATGTTTAGTTGGTCGAGTTTTGGGATTTATGTAAATAAGAGGAAGACTGCTGGCTGAAGAAGTCACCTGTTTGTCATATGAGGGCTTCCATACTAACCGTATAAGGGGCTTTTCATGGTACCGAATGGCTGTCCAAACCATTGACTTCTGTTCTGCTTTAATTTGCATCTTTGATTAAAAATAACCTTCCAACGTTGGTGTTTCTGCTTCCCATATCATGACCTTATGCGGTAGCAAATATTTCCCAAGAAAGAAACAGAGTGACGTGTAAATTTCTGATCAAGAATTAAATTTTATTAATTTTTTGTTCGTCTGCTTCCCAACTATCGTCCCAAGGTACTACGATAGGCCTCCTAAAACGGCCCAAAATCGGCTTAATATAAAATTTTGACAAATTAGTCGGATTTCACTGCTTTGGGCTTTCGTCCTTCACACTACCTCTGGAAGGCTGTACCGCCATTTTCAATTCACTGGGTCTTAGCCTGCGATGTATTTTAAAAGCCAGAACTCAATTCCTACGGCTGCCTCACCCTTACAAGACAAAACCTTATTCAAATCTTGCTCTATCAAATCATGGAGAAGATGTTTCACCAGCATAACAACAGGCCGTATAATGGCCGTTTCAGTTAATTTTTTCAGAGGGTTTGCCGTTAACAACATACTTCTTTTTTCTTTCATTTATGGTCGTTTTTAATTGAATGAATTTCTATCCACCGCATAGACCCATCAAACTGTCATTTGGAAAGCAAAAAATTGCAAGTTGAATGAGCGGTTTTATAAGAGGAACTCATCCCATAAAAAACGCATTCCGGCGAAAGCTAACCTATCACCAAGATTCTTGTAAGCCTTGATCAATTGTGGTCATTTGTCGGCACACGACGCAACGTTCAGAGACGCGTGGAAAATTGGCTACACCTGTTCCAACTTTGAGGAAAAAAACTAAAATTTAACTTTGTCCTAAGAAATCCGTCTTTAATTAAGCCCACACAAACAGATAATACGGCTTCATGTGAACGCTCATCCATCTTTTTAATGGCACTAATGTTTTGGCGCAGGCCATATTTTATGGGGTATTTTTAAATGTTGGTGCAAATTTATGGCATTGTAAATCATTGCGTCAAGAGCGCTCACTGTATAACAAATAAGCAATCGTGCTGTTATTTGTTACAAGCATCTTGCCGTGCTGATAGCCATGCTTATTATTGGTTTGATTCATCAGTGAGAGTGGCTTCTCATGCGGCATTTTATGGAACTTTTATAAGTTAATAGTTTGTGAGCCTTAAAAACGCGTGCTTTTCACCGTGTTATAAGCTTAGAAGCCATTATTCACGCATAATTTTTTAGGAGTTTAATGCCAACTAAAATGACGAAAATTGGAAACCAGAAAAACCTGTTCGATATTAGTTCAGACTTTGGAAATGCTCATGACATCACTTATGGTTACCTCATGCTCAACTGTTCCATTTTGTTGTTTTAATTAGCTTCACTTCCGATATGCAAACTTGTTTTCTATTGCTGGTATACAAGCCTTGAATTGTCAAAAGGACAAGATGAAGTGGACAGGCACCAAATGACATTCAACTACTTCATTTCAACAATATTTGTGTAACATAGGTTGCATTAGAAAGACATAAAGTATCACGACAAATCAAAAGATAAGCTGTAGTTTAGATAGTCCATTCGTGACACTGGTATTTTACTTAATTGGGAGTTGGAAACATACTAAATAAATTTTATTACTGGTTAATTTGCCGTCGTAGTGCCAGGGTAAGTACTTGTAATTTTTGCTTCTGCATTTGAAAATGAGGTCAAAGTGCCCTTTGGTGGATTAGCCAAACAGAACATTTCAAGGTCACCGAGAGGCACTTTTGTCAGTTAAAAACATTCATAGATTTACTTTATTGAAGTTGCATTTAAGTTGTTTAAAGATTTAAGCACTGATCGAGTAATCAGCCCTTAGATGGATAGCTTCCACTTTAAGGGCTTGGGGAATTTCTGAAATTTTAACCTTGCCAAACATTGGTTTACTGATATCCCAAAGGGAGGCAAAGAATTGTGGAGACATTCCGAAATTCCGTTCTTGTCAATCCCATGAGCATCAGATTTTCGAAATTTATTTATGCCCAATGCTCTCAGAGAAGTCCAGACAACCATTTTTAGGCCTTTTTGCGAAATATTCAAAATTTAGTAAGTCCACTTTGTGGATAAAGTTCTAACTTTATTTGTTTTAACAGAATGCTTTCTTTAATCTGCGAGAAGCAGCCTATGCCCCCATCTACAAATATTTCGCAAGCAGTAGTTGAAACGATCTAATCTTCATGCGATTTTGGTGCACGAATGCGGTTTGATGACATTATTAGTAATTGCATTGTCTTTCCCATTTGCTCTTAAATAATTGAATCAGTTGGTGCATATTTCTCCTTTTAGAAAAGCTTACACAAGGAACCTTAAACGAAGTGCCTAATTTAGACTTTTGAAAAACATTGAACGAGCGGCCTCTGTTGACTTGCTTAATGAAAAGTAAGCTATTAAAGTGGTTACCTTCGAGAGTCATAAAATTTCCAAGTTAGAGCATTGTTTTAAAAAAATCGCGAAACCCACCAAACAATAACCTGGACCTATAAATTTTATCCGACATAGGGAAAGTACTTTATCTGGAGGAAATAGACGACATACGAATTACGAAGGATTGTAGCAGTTAACTGTGCTCCTGTTCTTAAACATTTCGCCATGCTATGCTCAATTTTATGCTTGAAGTTTAAACCTCGTGGTGTGTGCCCAGATGTAAATGCTTGCCTCAAGTGGAAACCAACCACTGGCTTTCGTTAGATTTAATCTACATTTGTTCATTTAAACCATGACCCGTCGTTTAAGAGATACCCGGCAGTATCACTGCAACGATGGCTTCAGTGGTTCATGTGCACCTTCTTCTACTTAGTGTTTTTTATTTTCATTTGTTATCTTTAAAGGTTCTAAGTTCTTGAAAAGATTCTCTTTTTCTGTTTGAGGATTAAATCGACGAAAATAATAATATAATTGGGTTGGGTTGGGTTCAAACATGATGAACCTTGTAATCAACTTTACCTTTGCCTAATTTGTTCGTCCTTTCAAGGCTTCTCTCACTTAGGAGTTACATGCTGGCATGAAGCAACTTTGAGCCGAAAGAGCACATTGTCACTTGCTGACGTGTTCGCTAAATTACAAAAATTAGGTGCACAACTTTGATTTCTGACAAAGCATCAGTTACGTTGCAATTTTGACAAAAAACCAAGATACGGTACAGGAAAATGAATTAATTGCTGGCCTTATCTCATTTGACCCATTGAAGCTGTTCCGTGAAATCACCATAACTATCATATTCTAGATTCTATATGACTCGTGCGGCTATAATTTGGTCGTTAGTATGCACTCATTTAAAAGTGCAGGTTGGTTTGGTCAGTGTTAAGTGCTTAACGCAAAATGTTTCAATTCGCAAATGAATTGCTACTTAGTTTCTTCGTTTATTAAGTTGAACATGAAATAAGTCAGTAGGAATGTACTTTTTAATCAACCAATCGTGTTCATGGCAAGTGAGCTAATTTCTAACAAATAGCTAGGTGGTCCTGTTGGACCAAATTAGGTGAGTTTCAGATGACTATAAATCATCTCATTAAGCAACATCACAAAATTTCCTAAATTACAGACGATAGTGTTTCAGAAGAAGTCTCTTAATGTATCCGCTCACCAACAGCTCCTAATGTCGCGGCCGGATATATTATGTGTGAGAAAAGTCTGCGTATTTGGCATTTAACATTTATTAAAATCTTAAATATCTATGCTACTAAACGTCAATTCATAGTTGCAATGAAGCTCACGCAAAGTTGACTAGTAATACTAAGAAACAAGTTTCGGCAAAATTCACGCTCTAAAAGACTGACTTCCTTTCAAAATCTTCCTCAACGTCCTTCTTCTCACTGAAGCCCTTCTTTATAATCGTGGGAGTCGAGGCGTTAATTGAAGCAAAGTAAGAAACATTGTCGTCGTCCGTGTCTTCCTCAGCCAGGACTGCTTTGCGTCGAGCAGTGAATGACGCAACCCCGAGGAAGATTGGCATCACGCAGAATACGACATTTACGAGGGACAAGGAGGCCAGAAAGATGTGCTGTTTCCCGGTCTGGAACAGGACCATGGAAGCTCCGACAATGCAACCGGTGGTCTGCAGTGCCGCGGTGCAAATCAGCAGACCATCCATCTGGCTTCCAACAGACGTGGGAGCCACCGTGCAGAGTATTAGAACCAATTGCACAAGGATACCACCTGCTCCTGTCATGTAGCCTACAAAACCGCTAAACTTCGCAGTGCAATCGGTGATTTTAAATTCCTGAATGATCAGAGTCAGGGAAATGATAGTGGGGAAAACACTATAAAGGAGAACCAGGATCAAATCTGCCCGAGCATGAAAGGCTCGACGAATGCGTTTGAATCGCTTGGGCTTCGGCACTTTGATGCCGGCGCCTTTGTCGGTCTGCAGCTTCTCCTTCTTGCCTAGACGGAATACCATGACGCTTTACTTGCTCTTTTTGGAGTTGATAATTATGTATGCAAGATGTGTGACCTTGCCAACCAATAGAATATTGGAGAGGTGACCTTTGGTCGCATTGATTTTCCACCAACTAAGAACTCTTGTGTGTATCGTGTGCCACAAGCATGTTACTGGCCTCTGGGTCGATGGCATCTCAGAATGTGATCTGGTTTTTCATGGATGAGTCGTCTGGTTAGCTAGTAACACAGCACAAAATGCCAAAATGTCGATTTTACTAAGGTTAAAGTTTGAGTAGAGTGTGCCAGAACTAATTAATTTTGTGAAGTCCTTCGATAGAGCAAGGCAATTATCTAATGAGTTGGTAGTGTCTCGTTCCTAAACAAAGATGTGGTTAAGGTGAATTAGAATACAGTTTTGGGATTTTTTGACTTAGTCATTGTTTACTGGAGGGAATAGTTAAAATGGTCTTGTCGGTGGCCCGTCAATAGCGTTTAGCACGTGCTCAGAACAGATGTTTTCTTGCTGAATTTCATCTTTAGCTCGAAACAGAGCTAACCAATGTATTTTACGTACTATGAGTGGATCGAGCCTTAGATGCGACCAAGCCAAATCAGGCGCTAAACGTGACGGCTTGTTGTAGTATCTCATGGTAGGGCTCAAAAAGACTGCCCAAAGAAAATAAATTCACGTCCATTAATTTGCACAGCTCGGCTGTAATTTTGATCTCGTGTGAAACGAAGTGTTGTATGGTGTCGTGTGTGCAAGAGGCGCGACGTTGGCAGCGGTATTTCGAACCAAACTTATAACCTACGGCTGGCCTATTCCAGTAGAATGAAAGGCGGTCCAATCACTTTGTCTCAATCTCACCAAATGAGGTATGGTCCAGCCACCCCCGCACACGATCCGCAGTATGAAAATCTCTTTTCAAAGGGACTTGGCTATTATAATTTTAAGTGACGGAGGGTGCACAGACAAGGTGGACAAATTATGTACCCTATCTTTACTTTTATTTTGTGTAGACATCTGTAATACTAAATGAGTTTAGGAAAGAGATTTGATTTTGTAACAAAATGACAGGATCATGTCATTAAAAAACTAGAGGGAAAAGTGCCAGGTGCCCAAGCGAGCCTAAAGTACATTCCCAGTGATGTGTACGCTACACGATAATTGTACTGTTTTCGCAAAAATAGTTGACATATCGATACATTCCTTTCTATTTTTTTCTGTCACATCCTATGCTGCCCAATTTGCCGCCAAGGTCACCCAATGCATACGTAAGTGGGTGCATTAGACTAGATACTCAGCCTTTGACTGAGGCAGGAAACTCTCTCCATGAATTCTCGCCTGCATCTTAACACAGGGACAGTTGGGGCTTGTTTAAGTCAGGGAATTAATCGCATTCACCTTTCTCTGAACGCATGTTTTCGGTTAAGGGTGAACGTACCACACACTCACACATGCGTACCTGTGCATATGCAAGAATTGAGCAGTTATTTACTAGCACCTCACCTAACGCAGGTTAATGCTCTGACCCATTGAACAGTTCTATAACAAGGTTGAGTCATCACAGTGGAGAAGGTCGCCGGTAGGGATAAATGTGTGCAAGGCGATGTGTGCAGAGGATCGCAATATCCAGATGCTCTTGATGAAAAAATCCAATAGGAAATCTTGCATCATCACTGCTTAACACACACGGCAATCGAGTTATTTCTGCAGTGCGTTGCCCCTCGTCTTTGTGTTAACAAACGAAATGTGCTAGAACAAGGAATTTCACCAAATCTGTTTAATTTTATAACGGAACGACCGCTTCCATTTGTTTGGGCGTATGGATGGTCTGATATCAAGGCACATTTATTGAACGTGGTTAACACCAAAAGAATTAAAGCGGTTTGGCACCGCCGTATCTCAACAACATACTTACTCGATAACCAAAGTAGCACTAAAATAAATGTTAAGAATATAAATTAATCAGACAGCTTTACTAATCAGGCACATATGTTTTCGCTGAATAAATCCGATGTAGTTTAAGAACAATGCAGGATTCCCAAAGTTTCATTTCTATAAAGGCCCTAGAGACTCAGAGATGTCGTTCTGAACTCAGTAGCACCCATAGGCCGTGTACTTTTTAACTTGTTGAGACCTTTAGGGCGTGAATGCCCTTGTTTAATGGGAAATAAAACGAAGAGTGATTGTTTCGCCACTGCGGGTCGAAATCTGAGGCAGAAGTCGGTCCCCTTGGTAGTGCCAATAGGTGCTGATATTTGACAACTCAGCAATGTGGTTGAGGTCGATTTGGATTTTTAAATTTGGCGACTTACTAGAGATTTATGGGACTGGATTGTGGACCACTACATCATGGCATGGGTTAATGTGACAAACTTGACGCGTTTGTAGTATGAAATTGGCCACGAGTTGCAAGGGTATGTTACCATTTCCCAAAGACAAACTAATTGATTAGCACTGAGATTTATGACTTCTGTTCACTTGGCCCAGTTCACGCAGCAACTCGTTACACAGTGTTAATCACTCTCAACACTCGATTTGGGGCTTTTGGCTGAAACAGTTTAAGGTCACCTTACGAGGTCTTGTCTGTGTCCTGCTCTGAGAGGTCACTGATGTGCTAGACAAGGGCTTCAATAAGTTAAGCTCAGGGCTATGCATTTGCATAACAGTAAATTATGAGAAAATATATTCTGATAACGGCATCAAATGCTAATGCTTTCTGACGGTAGTTGACTTCAGATACGACATGGCACATGGCCACTAAATGTTTAAATGTGCCAAAACAAGCAGTAGATTCTTCCGAGGAACCAAGACAACAAACTTTTGCAAAACCTTGTTAAGCGCACTGCCACTAACAGTCACATTGACCAACTGGTGAAAAACAAGATGTGAAAGGTGGCTGACCAACTAATTTTTGTAGGCAAAGCTTTTCATGGTATGTTTTCTGCGACATTGTTAACACCGCAAACTCCTTTTCGGCCATTCTCAAATATGAAAAATTTCCAAGTGACAACAATCCCAAAATACATGTTTCTGAGAATTAAACATAGTCAGCCCCACTAAATGCTTGTTTGTTAGCTCTATATTAAGTTGGATTAGTGGTGTTAGAGGAATCATTACTTGAGTCACACCGCCACATGTGAGGTTGCTGCTGATGCTACCAGTCAACTCGGTGCAGTTGGCTTACATTCGTGATAGCAATCTGCCGCCAGTCACGTTTTTACCTATCCAGATTTGATGGGGGTCCAGATCGATATCTAAGGTGACGGGGAGAGGTTAAAAAGCTTAGATTTGATTAGCGATATTTGTATGGTGGTGTAAGAGATTCGAATGCCTATGTCAACGTGTAATTAGATGTGTTAAAAAGTCTTGGTGGTGGGTAGGACTTTAGCTGGGATAACGAGAGGGCAAAAGTTATTTTATGATTTTTTTAATAAGATAGAGATACACCAACCAAAATCGATAAAAGTATTAATCCTAAGTTTGCAAATTGCTTCTTAATCATCCTATTGTATACTCGATCCACCAGTTTCTGCAGCACAGCTTCAATAAGGCTATAAGTATTTAGACAATTAAATCCACAGTTTGATGAACCTATTCATCTGAAGCTACTAGCAAAATGCCCTTGAAAGTCAGCGTAAGCGAGGTCAACTATAGTCAAATATTAGGGCTTATCGATGGTACATGCGATTAAGCGGCAATCGATGTAGAGCCCAACAGTTCACAACAGCAAGGGGGCTCATTCATACTTTATTTATGGATGAAATTTTGTCAACCAAATCACGATACATAAGTCTTTAGTTCTCTACGCTCTCTGCTTTAGACAGATACGAACGTTATTTAGCAATAAAACCAAAAGACATGCCTTGTTATGAGGCTAAATTCGCGGTACGTAGGAATGGAAAGAAATTAATGCACGCAAGTGACGCCAATGCGGTGCCTTTATGTCTGCAAGTGAACGATAACAGCAGCGGCAGTGGCTATCACCAGATGCCGCTTCCACTACGTGAAGTAATAAAATTAGCTTACCGTGGAAAGTACGAATTTCGATGAAGTGGACACAAAAGCGAATAACTCTGAGACGAGGATCGCCAGTTACTGTTAATGAGTCAAATTAATCGAGTTCTTTGTCTATGACAATCTGCATAAGCCGGAAGGGTGTTAGCAACTACATTACGTCTTTATCACCTAAGCACCCGTTGGCAAAAACTGTCTAGTTTTAGGTAGGATCATCAGGCATGCATGTGTTAGCCACTTTCCACAGCTTAACTTTGTCGAAGTTTTTTTGAAGCTAGGTTATATCGGACGTTCTGTCCCATGGCTGGGCCCAGGAAACAGACAAACTCCCACTGCTATGGCGTTCATGCAACTACGTTTAAAGAAAGCTCACAGCCACGACTTGGGACAGCTTAGGTTGACTTGACATGAGGATCTCTGATTTGGGATGTTTTCGGTTTGGTACTTTGATCCTTTAAAACTTTGTTGTTATTGTTATCGATTGACATTTTATTTCGCTAAGCATGATTATAATTCTTGACTGGGACTCTCAACTAGCAGTCACCACAACTTCACTTTAAATGTGATGCAGAAAGTGCCCCTGAAGAGCTACAGGACGTATTAGAGAAAGCACCAAATTTGAAGTAATCGAGTCTAGACTTGGCCTGTACACAAGTGATGGGAAATTTCAGCTTGTTCTAGAGGTCATTTAATTGGAAATCAAAAGTGAATCTCCCAATTCTCAACCCCTTTTGCAATAAACCGGATCTCGAATTTCCTTAACCAAGTGTTAAAGTACAAGGTTTTGACCAAAAATATGCCCACTACAAAGTAGACAGGCTTATGAGCGTATTGTTTTCATCAATGATTCATAACTACGCATGTACTTTAAAGGCTTAGGACACGCAGTGGCATGAATATGCATGTGGAGACAAAGCTAACCACTGTAAATGCATGTTGGCGCGAAGAGCGCAATTTTGTCAGGACAACCAGTGTGGGCCAGAACGAGCAGGTGAAAATCCTAACAACAGCCAAACCATCCGCCCAAAATGCATTCAAAAACTGCAAAATTAACCATGGCTATTTGTTCTGTCGTGAAAAGATGGATGCGGATCCAAGATAGTGACAATAAGCAGAACTTTGAACGATCCGAATTCCTCGACATTTGATAATTACGAATCGTGGTCGCCTCGTACTTCGCGTTAACACTACCTATAGAAGCCAGTGAAAATTGTCACCGAGTGTTAGGATTACGTGAAATTTTGGCAAGTAGCAAAAGCACAATCCCTGTCACGTTCCTAAGTTTACTTCACCCACGCATTTCAGAAACTGACACCTACGTTCTGCCGATGTCTGCAACACTAATGAGGCCCAGATAGCATGCAAATCTGCTTGCAAAAATTAGCCTTGGTACAATGACGTAAGACAGCAAGAATGAGGACCGATGTAGCAATTTATACAAGCTTGATCTGGGTACATATATTCACTCACACACACACACACACAAGGCAGACAGGCGGCAGTGAAGGTCCCCTCACTCGCCACCGAAGAGGTCGGCCAGGGCCCGCATGGCCATTTCAGTCCGCGCTTCGGTGTTCTCGTTCCGCCTTCTCGACCGTATGCTTGGACGCTTGAGAGGTTCCAATGTGCTGATTGACAGCTCCTGCTTGTACTGCTCTGCCACTGCGACCTACCGTAGGTATAGACAAAAATCACGTCACCTAGGCTGACTGCTATTGTTAAAAGGTCCACTGAGTTGCCATTCAACAGTTAGCATATTAAGTTTGAATAAACATCACATTTTCTAGTTTAAAGGGGCATCTTTGCAGATGCGCGTCAAAAGAAGGGTACACCGTGAAGGAAATCCGGATTAAATGGTGGCTGTTTTTACGGGGTTTCACCACATTAACAAATACAAGCCTTTCGGTGCCCGCTTTCATTCAGGCAAGCACATAAAGTACGCCAAAACAACGCAAAACTCAGCAATGACACAATGTGCAGAGTGGTGCAGAGAGAGCCGACCTTTTGTCACCAAAATTACAAATCAAAGGATCAAAATGGCATTATCATTGAACTATAGCGTGTCTGTACCGTAAATAATGGTTACACATCCAGTGGTAAATACCCGTCCAAATTTATCCCCGTGAGTGGGGCCATTTGCGTGAAAAATGAGGTCAGAGTCGAAAGTTCGCAGTTGAGTGCAATTCACTCATGGACAGCGAATAACACACACGAGTCATTTGACCACGGAAGTGGGCAAACATGACAGCGTCCAAAGTAGCACAACTTAACAACTACTCACCCCAATTAGCGGTTGAAGCAAATTCTTCAGTTGCTCACGAATCTTCTTCGACGGTGGCCTATTCGGATCGAAAACCTGGAGCGTGTATTTCTAAAAAAACAATGGCACATTAGCTTTCACAATAATGTTAGGCTTTATAAAGATGCGCAAAGTTGTCGGATCCCCGCGTAAAAAAAGCAAACAGAAGGAGAAAGAACACTCACCAAACCTGAACTCCAATCCAAGATCGCATACCTTTATATTGGCTAAATGCTTGCTGGCGGCCGTGTTGTTCTGACAGCTGTTCAGAGCAGAAAAGAGTATGGGCTCGAGGTGCGCCGTCACCGCATCCAACCCGCCGGCAATCAGCGCGATCGCGCGACTTATCACATTGAAGAGCGGCGGACCAAACTCGCTCAGATACTGTCCGTTGGCACGCAGAGCGTACAATCCGCCAATAAGCAACTGACACGCGACTTCTGGTGGCAACAGAAGGTGCGCATGCGGTGTATCCCTCCGCAGAGTCTACAACACAAAAACGGGGAATGCGACAGTTTGCTACTCAAATTTGACTCCCAATGTCAAAGCCAAACCAACGGTTTAGTTGGCAATTAAGTTTAAGGAAACAACACTTGTGCAGTTAGCTGCAACAAAACAAACGGCTTCCAATTTGGCACGCTAAAAAGCAGACCAGATGAGCAATGAATCACTCATATAAAGGCGATCTCGCATTTCATTTGACATGGGAGAGAGAGGATAGACAGAGAATTTTTTATAGATACGGCACCTTTGATTAGTCTGTTGGAGTCTCAGAAGCAGGTCCCTCGGTCGACGATCCATATGGGAAGCCGCCAAGAGATAGCAGCGATTTGATGTAAAAGGAATTTAAGGATTTTTCCAACGACCATTGAGAAACAACTCACGAAGTCTATAACCTTGACGAGCAAGATTGCGGCCTTGGTGCAAACTTTGCTGTCAGGCCAATTTGCAGCTGCGGTGAGCCAAGAGGCCATCCGTGCAAACATTCCGTCCACCGGGATAGCGCCATCGGCGGAGTCCACGGCAAGGAGAGCTTTTCCGAACGGACCGAATACAATTGACGACTCTGACACTATGGGCTGAGCAGCCTCCGCCACATCCATCTGATCCTGGACCTCAACATCGACGTCAATTTCCTCTTGGCTGGAATCAACTTTTCCTCTCTGACGGGCTCCAGTGAATACCAAAAGAAGGCCTACACACGGAAAATCATGAAAATTTAGGCAATGCTTAATGCATGACATGGCAATCAAACGCCCACTGACAGGTAGACATGTGCTGTCTTAGTCTAGAATTGTATTTTCTTTTACGATAGGCAGCAAAGAGCCGAAGCGCACGGCAATACTGTTGAATCGTATAAAATTGAAGGAAACAAAAATACAGCTATGAATTCGGGTTAACAATCAAACTCGGCTTTCAACGACTTTCATATTGTACTTTAAATAAGGCCTATCATGTTGACAGTCGAGGCAAGACTTACGGGTGAGTTCCACCAGACTTGCAGAAAGCGATCGAACCGTTTCCTCGACAAAGATCTCTTCGGTAGCCTCCTCCTCGCCTACTTCCTCCTTGCTAGAAAATAGACAAAGGCATGGAACGGGAGTCGACTGTGGGAGGCTAGCGCAAAATGCGACGGCAGATGTCTCGGGATGCCTCAATAGGTCCTGGCAACTGCAATAACCCGACTCCAATAAGGAAACAAAATGGTGCTACTGGTCGCGCATGCCACTACCATCCAGTTAGAGGGACATTTGTTTTTGAGTGGACGAGTAACGGGATCGAAAACTGCTTAGATCAAAACAGCTGTCCCTATTACCAGATCCACTTTGAACACAATAGCCACATTAACAAACCACCATAGAATCGGACATTGTTTCAGCAATATTATTAGAACTTACTCGATACTTTCAACGACGCTCCAGCTTTTGTTCACCTTCTACAGAGGAAATAAGAACTGGAGTTATAAGGAGAGAGGGAGAATGAGTAAGAGGTCAAGGTAAAACTACCTGGTAGAGCGCGTCTAGGACATACGGCATGAGGGGAATGAGAGCGCTTTCAATGTTCGCCGCGGGACAAGAGCGAACAAACGGGATCATAAAATAACCTAAAGGACAATAGCTAACAAAGTGAAGAAAGCACAGTTTTTTTGCCATTGAGTGCGTGAATCTGGAAAGACCAAGATTTGGAGGGAGTTAAACTTCACTCTCGGTCAATATCAGCAAGATTTGAACTACAGACTCTGACTACCAGTTAGATATCGTTGTTAGAACCTGAGGCTCAAATCTAGACTTGCATATTTACGCCTCAGTGATTGGGAAACGTTGCTTTATTATTCACTTGAGTAAGGCAATCAAGCGGACTAGGTTTCTGGTCATCACCAGGCCTAGCGACATTGTAGCAGCTCCTCAATTTAGTCCCTGTGTCATTCAGGAGGCAACAGAGAACACACCTATTCATTCAGCTAACTAATTGTGGGTTTGTGGTATGTTGGGAGGGGTACTGCCCTCGAAGCTAAATGTATACGGCGTGTAGAATGAGAAACACCAAGCCAATTGGCACAAGAACTGTGTCGGAGGCACCTTGATAACACCGAGTAAGCTGACAAAAGTACTTAGCCAACATACATAACATTATAATCTTACTGTAAAGGCAACAAACAGTGTCCATGTAGACAAACCAGACCTTACTACCTTAACAATAACACAGAAGGCACAAGCTAAAGCTTACGCAAAATCTGGAGAAGCCGGTAATCGGGCATTGACGCTATGTCTGGACAGACGCAGTTGAAAAGTAGCTGATTCAGTTGCTCGGTTGGGAGGCTGTAGAAGAGGTTTGCTGTGACCTCGACCAACAACTGACAGGTTTGAATGGTTGAAACGTTTATATGGGAGAGGAATGACTGCAGCTCCGGTAAATAGCTATCCAAAACGGAGTACTCAACTGTCACCATCTTCTGCAAATAAAAAAAAGAAATCTGAGTAAAAACAGTCAAGTTTTTGTGTAAACGTTAGAAGCCCAAAGGGATTAGTCATCACCTAGTGATTGCAATCAGGTGCTATCAATGAGGTTTCGCCCTAAGCTTAAGCAAACTTGCATTGCGGCAAGTGATGCAACCTCGTCACACGGATTTAACCGCAGACTGGAGACGCTGATTAAGCACCCTCGGCAGTATTGCAGACTGATTATTTTCAAATTGAACCAGTTTGTAATAAACCGACTTGGCGACGGACGCACCGTATGAGCTCAAAACGATGTGCACCCAACTTGAGTCTGCACACATCTACGGTGCAGTTAAGCAAGCACGAATCTGGTGGAAATTTCACTGCAAAAGCGCGAAGCTAGACCGCTAGGTTACCGGCTTTGCCAACTCAGCAGCACAAACAACACATCAGGGGCTCAAAGCGCAGGAAGCCAAACTGCCGCGTACCTTAGGGTCGCCGGTCTTCGCAGGCTTCTTCAGAGCGGTGCGGGTCAGCAGAGCCTTGTCCCCCGCAGTCACCTCGAGTGCCGCCCGCATCGACGGATGACAGCGCTCCGCGGTTGCCGGTTGCCAAAGTTTATTCAGGGTCCTGGGAAGGTAAACCAGTCACGAAACCGAAAAAAGGCAGTTGGCAACACAGTTGCAATACATGCATTTCAAATGACATTGGGTGGACTTAAGGCTTGAGAAAGAGATTTCTCAATCCCAAACAAGAGTTGGGCTTTGCAGGAGCCAAGTCAACGCCGTGAAGTTTTGTCAGCAGTCTTTATTTAACCAGACCAAGAAAATGTCACTTCTCTCGAAACCCAGGACGCAACTATGCAGAATAAAATGAGGTAGTGGGCGCATGGAAAACTGCCAAATGTAAGGGTACTAAGAACACCCATAAATTAAACCTAATCGTGACATACGCTCCCCACAAACGACAAAATTCATTTAATATAATCAGTTTTCGTAAGCAGGGTAGACCTCTAAATTCCTTCATAGTGGGATTTTCTACTACCGCCCAAGCAGAACTTAGGTCGGTGTGGATGGGAACCGAATTTAAGGCAAATTTCCAAGGCGAAAGCATGTGGATTGAAGACACCGATAGAGATGGAACGGTGAAAACGACTGGCAACACAGCAGCTTTATGTAACCGCCACAGATTTGAAGGCTCCATGGTCCAATAACCTTCCTTGTTTTTCTGGACACACCAGTTGATCGCATTGATCCATGGGCAAAGCACAAACAACTTGCCTGAGGAGACAAAAGCAGGGGAAAATCAGATCTTCTGCCAGAGGAACACAAACACGCTCCGTCTAGGTAATAAAAACACGAAAATCAGCAGCTGGAGTGATTACATTGAATACGAGACGGGCTTTGAGAGGAGTTGAAGTTAACGAAAAAACGTTGTCTGTAACAAGGTGACCATTTTCCGTGAAAGGTTAAACAATTTTGGCGATGAAAAAAGTTGCGTTCGAAAAACAATTCCATTTAAGTGAGACGTCGGTTCATGAAGTCCTAAGGTAAATAAAACTAACTTAAAAAGAACACTTATTTATTCATCACTTAGGTAAAAAAGACTAGGTCACCAGTCTGTTTGTACGCAAACAAGAGGTAGTCAACTGACACGATTTTAAGAGCTAGAACTGGCTAACCTGAGGGCCCTACCACGGAGATCGATAGCCTTAGTAACGATGAATGGAAAGCACAACGTCTGTGAAGTGACCCTATGAGATCAAACTTGATCCCAAAACAGCTTAAACCAAATCGCAACACCACAAACTTGACAGCTGATTGCACGGTTCGGTTGCTGTGAGGTGCATTTGGTTTAGATAAACAGCATCGAATCGAAGGTACCACCGGTTTAAAGCGGAGCAAATCTATGTCTTATGGTTCGATGCAAAGTGTAAAGTGAAAATCAGCGCAATTTCCCGAGTTACGTCGCATTGAACGTTCAATTTCATTAAATTTCTACAAAAAAATTAGGCACACTGATTTTATCCGCCGGACAACAATCCAGCCTACTGAATTTTATTTAATTACACGAATTATCTTACATTCTAGCTGATGTGTTTTTCAGGCTATTCAGTTGATGAACAATTGAATTGTACAGCACACAAAAACTCACTTTTACTTAAAACATTGTCACTGATGGTTAGATTAATTTGAAATCCATGAGATCACAAGCGCTTCCAAATAGTTCCCCGTCAACAGCAACAATTGTGTGGAGCCGTGACGAGACAAGTGGAAAAACGCGAAAGCAGAAACCCGGTTTAAAATAAACACACTTGCTGCTATGCAAATGGCAGACACGGAGAAATTTGTGCAAAAAGACACCAAAAGAACTTTCGGGTTAGCGGTCTGGCAACCCGAGTCACCACGGACGGCTGGCATATGGGTTAACAAGACGACTACGTGACTTCGGTGGTCCCAAGTTTTATTTCACCTGTTCGGAAGAAAGCGGCGCGTTCAATCGACGAACGGCGGAGAGAGTGGCCGCCGAGATCCAGCGAAGTCGCAGACGCGTAGGAATTCGCTCCACAAGGAGATCAGGCTTCGCCTTGAGCTCGTCGACATCCTGAGTGAGACCGAAGTACTCAAGCAAATTTTCACAGCCTCTCTCCGGTGAGGCGAAACTCAACAGGACGCTGTCCAATTTCTTCCAATCCGCGAAGACACTCTCAAGAATGCTCTCCAACTTCTCCCTTTGTTGAACAAGAGAGCAGGGAAGGCGAAGTCTGTGAAGTGATAAAACAAACGGAGCGTCCCATGAGGTAAAGAAAGAATTATGAGAGAATGTTGTGCGTAATGTGCTTACGCTAAGTAGATGACAACTTCCAGAAGTAGACACTGTTCTCCAAGGCCACCGTGGCGATTACTCCAAATGTCATTTAGTTCGGAGCAAAACGATTCAAAGAAGGGCTAAAAGCAAGGTCAAATTTAAGTGAGACTGACGCCTTGGTTCGCATTAAAATTCAAACCAAAATAAATCATGGTTGTTGAAGATAGAAGACAAGCGCCAAAGTTGCCAGCAGTGCTTAGGAACACCAATCCAGTTAAAGTGAAAAAAAATCGCAACCATGTTTACTTATTGTGTTTACGTCCACGTAAAAAGCCTGAATAGCCATGTTAAAATCCGTCTTTTGTGTCAAACTACAGATAGCCAAAGGTCTATTCACAATTGGGTTACAGAAGCTGCGTCCAGTACAAGTTCGGTGAAAAGTAAGCACAAGCCCGAAACACATGGATCGACCGCGATTCGGTACTTCGAGTACCTGACAAAAGTCGGTGTCACACTCCAATGATAAGACGATGGTGCGGGCCGACGTAACAGCGCAAACGTATAATATACATTTAAGGTATAACAAGATAATCGACTAACCAGCAGCGCCGAAGGTTGTGCACGAACGAGTCGAAACACATTAACACCAACAGATATGTGCATATTTTTAACACTTTGACACCGTAGATTGATGTACTTGCGGAGAGGACCTAAGGTGTTTGTGGCTTGCGAAGTGACCACACAGGGATTGTACCTCAGGGTCGCGAAGTCCTGAATAGAAAACAGTGATAGGCAAGAAGCGATGAGAGCCAGTAAATTCTAACAAGGCAGTTCTTCTAAACGATTAAACTGGTAGTCTGGGATAACGTAGGTCGCCAACACCAAGAAACTGCAGAATTGATGGAAGGGAGACGGGATCTGTAAGGGAGATGGCTATGACGGAAAACCTTTCATCATGTGCTAGCCTCACCATACTGGAGCGAAGTCAAACCAAGCCACTTGACATTAATTAGGATCTACTCGACGAAAGTGGGGTCCAGTAACGCTTGACCGAAATCAGTCCCAATGTATCAGCTTTGCTACTAAATAACCGACAATGATATCCTAGTGGTCACCTAACGTGATTTTGTGCTAAACAATGCGAGTTAAAAACACAATCATATGTTCCTACACTAACAGACAGTCAAGAAACAGTTTTTGGCTTCTTTTCAAGGAAGTAAAGCATGGGTCGAAACTCGTGCAAGGGAACATTCCTCTAAGTAGCTTTCGTGAGCAAGACTCAAAAGGCACTGCCGATCAACTGACAGCAGCCAACTTCCACATAACTAAACAAAATTCATAATTTTTGATCACGAATATATCTCAAGTTGTGTAGATAGTCTTTTTCTCAACACGTTGTGGCGATGTGAAGCTCGTCAACACGTAGGATAGCGGTCATGAAACCCCAAAGATACAACTACAACGGTGAGTGACAATCTAACAATTCATGACCTTAAAAAGCCCTACAACGGGTAATGGCTTCGAGGATCGAAATCACAAAATATTAACCAGAAACGGGTAAGAATCGATGGAGGAAGATCAAGTATTACTTAAGGTCTAGACTTACAAAACGTTTACTGTTTCCATTGTCGGATACATAAAAACCACGAAAATCCAATCGGTTTTTTACGAATATGCATTGTGTCTGCGGGACAATTAGTGCGACACAAGCAAAGCTCTACATTGGACACTCAGGGACTCCCTGAGACGGAAAAACATTGCACCGAAAAGGTCATTTTACTGTAGTCAATAAGTTTTCATTCCAAATCAACCTCGACCACTCGAGAAGAAAATCCATCACTCCCCAACAACTATAATTTGAAGAGCCGTTGTTGTCGCCTATAGGTCATGTAGACAAATACTTTTTTAACAAGAACAAGGCAACCTATTAATCTACGGAAAAGGGTATTTACTCTAGCAAATGGAAAGGAATTTTGTGGCACGTTACAAATCCACAAAATGTCATAGGCAAGTAAATTTACGCATTTTGAAAGAATAATGATATAGACGGTCAGAAAAGACAATAAACAAGATGTATTTAGATTCCGCTATGACAGTCCCCATAGAGCCGCGTATCTGGACACAACTTAGTAGTTTTTCCACACAAGTGATGACCGAAGCTATCATCGGGGTTTCATGGATTGCCGGGAAGTGCTCCAGCGCTCAAATTCAGACACGCACGCGGTAGACGAGCACGCATTACCTCTAGACGACCACGAAATAAAAATCAGCAGAAGTCACAACCTTCTGAGTAGACCGACCCCGACATTACGAGGAATTGTGCTCAAGAAAGTAAACCTCACATGAGAGAACGGCATATGTTGACACAGTCCTTATAAACCAAACTATGTTCGGGAGTGTTGTCCGTTCTCATTTAGGCGAAATTAACTTTTTTTAATGATTTGACGCTACTTATTTTGCACATTTCAAGTGTAATGGAACACCTCAACATATGCAGGACTGCCCGTATCTGTCAAGTATTCGCATAAAAATTTTATCATTTATTACTCACCATCCGTCCATTACACTTTTTATAAAATTTGAAGCATTTTTTTTAAATGAAACGTTTGTCTATCAATTGCTGAAGGCTTGGGGAGTTAAGTACTGCAAAAGTGTCGGCCAGTGGTGCGATTTGCTGTTAACACCAAAAAGACACCCTTAAACTCGCAGTGCGACTTTTGATAATCTTGAACAAATCATTACAATTCATCAACTTTATCTGACTTTGGATGAATAGTGAACTGTTTTCATGAATCATGCGTGATTTCAGATAACATACTAACATACAACCGAAAAACAACGAACCTGCATGAGAAGTTTCAACGCAAATTCGCCTTGTGTGTCCAAACAGTTAATGATCAAACTGTGCAGAACACCGAGGTAATTTTGTCTGACCCCCGGGTCGGCAGGGAGATCCACCAGCGTGCCATCTGCGACACACTTACTGAGGTGGGAGACGAGAATCCCGTGGCCCCGATTTGGATCATGGGAAGCATCGGCCAGAGGCACCTTGGAGCCCATCACCTCGCCCGTAAAAACACTCGTCAATGTTTTGTCCATGGCGAAAGCCAGTGCTTCCCATAGCCTGGCGAGCAGAGACGTCGGTTTGATGAATGGTTGGGAGGGGTAAATAAAATCTGCAAGAACAGCGAATCGACAAACACATTCTGTCAGCATATTTCAAAGACAATAAAAGGCAAGCCGTATTTCAGTGCATAGGAAGGCAATAATAAGAGATATCGATACTAATTTGGCTGTGAACAGGTGGAAATAGTATGACTTCTAGACAAACACCGCGTAGTTGATTTCCAGTATTATGAGGACTTTTGCAGCACAAAAGCATTTAATTTAATGGACAAAGTTAATGTGATGCGTGCAAACCCATTCCCCATCTAACTTGGCAACTTGAAGAATATGGTTCCGCTAGGCAAAGGCTAGGAGTTCTTGGAAAATTTAACTGGGATGTAAAGCACGAAAAAGACTGGATCAATGGCAAAAAATGGTGAGGATGGGGAGACAGGATGAAATAGATAGACAATACTGGGTGACCTTACTTTGGGTTAGTCGTATAAAAACAGCGGGAATTGGGAATGAAAAAAACGAGGGTCGCAAGTATTAATGACTGAAAACAAGAAACAGCTGGAAGCGAAATTCACAAAAATCAAAATTAGTGTGGCGAACAAAACCCCAAAAAAACAAATAAACAGTTTTTGAGAGAAGTTTACGCAATTACAGGTATTTGATGGTTGTTAAACTCAGAGTTTTGTGACCACATAACACACAAAGCGAGTATTAACGTACCAAAAGTACGGACGAGCTCTATCTTTTTTCGTCACATATGACTAAATTACTTCATTACCAAAAGTGCGGACCAATAAGTTGAAAATACATTTGAAAAAAATAAAAAACGACTCGCCTTCTTCTTGTGCAACTTCCTTCAGCAATCGCTTATGCCAACCAATTAGATATTTAATGACCTCAGTTGGCCATATTGATGCGGCATAAAGGATGCAGTGAGACTTAAGAGTACTCCGCGTTTCTACAATTCACAGTAGAAAGTTAAATACAAAGATGACTGTTAAACAAGTTGCGAAAACAAGAGTATACTTGTAAGGGATTCAGCATATTCATCTTTCTCACAGTTTGCATAGATCCAGGAAGCCATGGGGTCAGTTGAGTTAGGATAGGGTTGCTAGGTGGTGAAATGATAGAGTTAGCGCAATTAGACAGTCCGTGGAGATTAGGATAAAAACGGACTTACCAATACCATAACTTCCATCCACGTCTGCAAAAGCCTTGACATATATTTAGATAGCAGAGATACAAGTGTAAAGTGATTGGATGACAAAATTGATTTGAAGAAACAACTCACAGACACGGAAAGCAACTATAATGCAAATGAGTTATGTTAGAATTATGAATGTTATGATAAGGAATGTTCAACCTACCTTGAAAGGATGATTAGCTACATATACATTGGCCTGAATTATTAAGTCGATTACTTCCAAAGCTATCTGCCCCCGTCCTTCTAATTGACTCCAGTGTTCGACAACTTGCATACCGAGGAGTGAAACAACTTCAGACCACCGACGCAGAAATAAGCAAAGCTCTTCGTCATACTGTACATTTGTAAAAACAGATCTGTTTAAAAATCAAAAAGTTTTGACATAACTAGGATTCACTTTAAGGAATAATAGCTAAAGCATTTAGGGCCCACCTGGTAATATCTAAAATCACAGCCGCTGGATTCTGACGAGTGTTGGAATTAAATGCGACGAAATAAATGTACGTAGGTTTCATTTCAACAGACTTGCACCCCAAAACATTGTTCTGTTTTTTAGCAAGAATAACACTCAACACTTCTGCGGCTTCTGTTCGCAATTTCGGATAAAGAACAACATAGAGCAACAATTGAATGCTTGGAACAGTTTCGGAAGTGGTGGGAGCTTCCTTAGGAGCCTTCCATTCGAAAAAGGAGGTAATGTTACACCATTCAAGGAGAGCGGACAATAGAAGAAGCCCAGATTTTAAAGAACGAGTAACGTCCACATCAAAACCGGTAACCTTATTAATAAAAAGTCGGTTTTACAAATTCGGCATACCAAGGAAGCGCGGGAATCGACAGTTAAAAATATGAAATCAAGAGCGAAGTGTATTATTTGTGACACATTGTCTGAGAGTGCAACACACAGTTCACGGCGTCTGTTGATGGGGACGTCTTGAAAAAACAGTAGGTCCTCAGAAAGACGACGAAAAATATCAAATACAATCAGAGACTGCAAAGACTGGAAACATATGATGCGGTAGCGACGACTTACACCAGCCTTTCCCAAGTTAATAAGCTCGGGGATCATAGATGGCCATTCCTGGGGCCATTCACATTTGATTAAGTGGACCATTATCTGAGTGATATAAAGGCATACGGCATTGCCCTCTGTGTTGCGGCAAGACATATTTTCAAGCTGAAGACAAGTAAGAAAAAGCAATGCATACGTCTGTCACAAAGTAGCACAAATATTGCCGCACCTCCTGCCTCTCCGCTGCCGAAAGAATTGCCCATTTACGTCTAACATTATTTCAAAAATATCCATACTTGACTCTGTGTTCTAGACAGCTTAGACCATAAAGAACAATGGGTGGTTCTTGGTCGGATGAGCATAAAAACTTGAGGTCATCTAATTTAAAGAGTGATTCTTTGTAATTCTCAGTGAACTACTGAGTTTAATAAAAAGTATTGTCAGACCTTATAACATGATACACGTTCAGCATTCAGCGTCTGCAGAGAAAAGATTTTTTTAAGACTATCGACCACCTCTGCAAGGCTCATTTTGCACTTGTAAAGGCCAGATAACGGAACAAAATACTAATACAATTGAGTCTTGCAGACTTAAGCCCGGATTGGTCAGCATCGATTTTTGAAAACTGTTTACTTTGCTCAGATTATTAAAAAGCTTTAAGAAATTATTAATAGTGTAGACATACACTTAATTTGGTCAAAACAAATTTACAATGTTAAAAATTTAAACTGTAACTATAAAGATAGATAAATATTGCAAACTAATACAAAAATGGAGTCAGCAAGTAATTATGCATGCTGTAAATTTACTAGAATTATATACTGCCGAAAACTGAATAAGGGAACCTCTTTTAACTGACGACTACGAAAAAATAAAAAAAACTGATTTTAGAATTGCAAAAGTTGCCAAAAATTAAACAGATGGCTAGATAGATTACATTTAAAGTTTTCACTAAAATTCTTTTCTGAGATTTCCAAAGGATTTAAATTTTCACACCTAAGACGCGCATAACGACAAACACAAACTGAAAGATCAAATGCTATTCGTCGTGAGTCACCACATATGCATTTATTTTAAATGAGGAATTCACATTTATATGCCAAATGTACCATTTCTTTGTCGGTGTTTTCACTGTAATCCTTTCTGTATGACGTAAAACCCTACTTCGTGCCATAAACTCAAAACTTGTGGGAACAACTTCCGGCAAATTTGAAATTCGTGATTTTTTTCATGTTCCATAAGACTGCGTTTATTGCGATTTGAAATCCTAAAAAATATCGTGATTCCTTCACCTTTGTAGTATTATCCAATTGGATAAAGGTTGCAGTAGTTGTTTCAGACTCTAATTTTTGTCATGTTTAATTTCAAATCCCATGCCTTCGAATCTCTCTACCTCCTTACTGTTTTAGGATGCGGAGGAATTATCCGCAGTGCAAAAAATTGTATTTACTCGATTCACGAAATTATCGAAGTGCAACCACAGTTAGAAATGTGCATTTCGTTATCAAATCACACGAAGGAGGTAACTACTAAAAACTTCATGCACAAATAAAATGACTATGATTTATGTGGTTGCGTGTGCTGTTTGTGACTGTGGAGTAGCCAATCACAGACGGGTCCCCAGGCCTTTGCCTAAAGAAACCCTGGCCAATATTGCATATCTAATAACAAAACGCGTGTCAAAATCATTCTATAGGTGCCGCATATCTTAGCAGTTCATAATGGCTGCACTGCTGGTTAGTTAGCGACAATCATTTTTTGCTGTCTCTATATGGTTGCTGATATTTTTTCTAGGCCATTTATGCAAGCAAAGACAGGAAGTTAGTTATGCTTGTCATGACTGAATAAATTTGAGTCCCAAACCTACACAACACTCTATAAAATAAAATATAAACTAGCTGGGAAAGAAGGCCGCTGAAAGCGTACCGCCGAATGTTAGCAGCCCTTCAGCTAGTGTGAGAATGGCAGATTGCAGCCTCTGGGCATAGGTTTCCGAATTTTTCCAAAAAAATCACACTGCATTTTTTTAGACATTGACTCATGTAGCAAATGATTTTGTCGTGCTAAAACGGACATAATTCAACAGATTTGAACACCCTTTAGCGTTTGACAGCAAGTCCTTAACATCGGCATAACTGAATTATATCACCATGAGGCGCTAAATTTCAGCCCCGACATTTTTCCGCTACTGATTTTGGTGCTATGTTTTGTTTGCGATATTTTGGCACGTACAAAGCTTTCGGCCTTGAGACAGCTTTTTCAACGTAAAGAAACCAATTAGCATAATTTATGGTTGATTATATGTACTGCGTCTTTAGATGTACCAGATATTTTACCGTCCTTGCAATAGTCGCGAAAATACATTGGCTCTTTTTGGTAAACTAGAATCCGCAATAGATGCGGCCTCTATTGAATTGAAGAGACAATGGTAAAATTGAACAACCCCTGTTAATGTTCAATACACAACAAGCGAAAAATAAACATTTGCAATTCGATCCGAAAGTTGATGCTGCATACTATACAAGAAGCACGAGTGTGTTTGCTTTCATTACGAAACCTTAGTTTTTATGAGGGAATTCTTTGTAATCGGTTTTACGTATCGTATTCTTAATCATTAGGATGTCATGTGCTGCTCTTCATACAATTTATTTACTCCTATATGTTAGTCTGGATCACTTAGGTCCGGCAAAGGTTGAGCACGACATCCATCGGCTAGTTCGTTGCCATCCATGCACGACGATTTCCCTGACATTAACGCAGAGCGCGACGGCGATGGAGAAGTGAGATTCTTGACAAATGTGGGTAGAGCCCACACTAGGCCCTAAGCGCGATTGTCAAAAGAAAGTAAATGGTCCGCTTTTCATGTTTTTTTGAAACGGAAAGCAGTTACCTCTGCCTTCTCTATTTGGTTGGGTGAAGGACAACATCGAAAGGCGGATACTGTGTCTATGACTCATCAGATCATTGCTGGATGGATTTCTTAATCAAAAACAAGTTATTTGAGTTCGTTAATTCAAAACTATGCTCCTTTTTGAACCAAAGAGACCTTCCACGCACCCACTGAAGCCGTAATATAGCTATTTTTCTCTTTTGTGAGCTGTTGAATCGTGCAAACGAAACGCATGTTTGAATTACTTTAAAGATTACATCTTGGAAAAATTGCCCTACACCAGTTGAACTAAGTCCTTATACCCTGATGAGGTTGCGGCGCACTAACTTCGTGACAAATCAAGTACGGGGACAGCTACATGTAGTTAGTACAGTTGCGATGGCAAGTTAGTCATTCTTCCAAGGTGATCAGATCACAATTCGTTCTACCTTGCATGCATCAGGTAAACCGGTGCACGATAATCCAGAAATGAAGAACGATTTAGTCAAAAGTGATTCGCTTAATATCGTCGACGATGGTAAGACGTCACCGGCAGATCGGATTCGAAACGCTAAAGACAACTTCCATCAAACGAGAGAAACAGTATAGAAGCGGAGTAGATAGTCATAATTTTGGGGCTAAGCCAGTGGTTAGACAGCGAGACCACGGCGGTGGTGAGACAAAGAGTTTTGTGAGGCAATACTAGCCCACTCACGAATGTCCTCTTTTAGGAGCAGCGAACCGACCAAATGAAAACTAGGATGGCCCTAGGGGAATTACATAAAGACGCTATTTGTCCACTGATCACCTTTAGGTGGGTACGCAGTTATTGTCTGCGCTCTTCTTTCTTGTGCCTAATCCAGTAGTATAGGTGGGAAATCTTTAATGGTAATTTGGCTGCTGACGACAATTATTCCGAAGTTCTAGGTACGTGGCTTCAATTTGAATGGACGAAAATCTATCTCATGTCTTCGTCTGATTTTTCCTGAGACTTTTATTTGCAAAGACGGTAATGCAGAAAATTATTGCACACGAGTGGAATTCTATATGTAGCTGTGGTTACGTAATTCAGCTTAAACTATCCAAGCTGAGATTATTATTGGACATTACGTCTAACCAATTAAAGTGGAGCTGGCTGCCGCCGCGGTGCTTTCGTCTGGTTTTGTGGTGTGAGGCCAGGTCGTTTTGCGGTTTCGTGACAGTCTTCTAGTCCTGGAATAGATGGTTAGTTTATTCGACTACAATTGTAAAACATTCACTAGGTTTTGATGGAAGCCCTGTCTTATTTATCCGGTTTGATTTACTTTAGGATAATTAACACAGCCCTAGTTAAATTATCCAATATGATGCTCAAATACCTTTTTTGTCAATCAAAGAAAAATCCCCCTAGTGGAGTTTTATCAATGGTTTGTGTGCATTTTACAGCTCCGTAACTTTATTTGATGCTGCATTGCTCAGTAGTCCATCAATGTGACTTTCTCCTGCAACGGAGGGCAACAATATTGCTACTATATTTGAGTAATGTGCCAAGTGTCCTTGTTCTTGGTGAAAAGTCTGGATATTTTAATGACCGTCACAACAACCGCGATTATACATGTTGGTGTGAACGAATACTCGGTCGTACTGATCACCCAAGTATTTCTCCAAAATTTATTTTCATCAATCATAGTAGTAGTAATGGTCGTACAAGATTCAGTTACTGAATTAATGAATGTATTGTCCTTATTTTACATAAACTACAGTCCCCAATTATGTCTGAAACGTTCGACGTAATTGTTCTCGGTGCTGGGATTGCTGGTCTTGCTGCAGCCAAGATTCTCTCGAAGGAGGGGCTCAAAGTAGTTGTGTTGGAGGCTCGCAATCGTCATGGAGGACGCGTTCACACGATTTACCCGTTTCTTGGCGATGGTAGACCCTCCTTTCCAATAGATCTTGGAGCTAGTTATCTTCACGGATGTTGCAGTGACCAGGAAGTACAGCCATTGTTCACACTTGCTCATCGTCTCAAAGTCACAAGTATCACCTGCCCCGGGGATACGCTTGGACCATATCGTGGTTGGGAGTGTCCTGAGGTTGCCGTTTGGCGCGACCCCAAAAACGGTGAAAAGGTTGACATTGAGCAAGTGGCACAGATGAGCTTCCTTCTCGACCGATGTCTTCTTCATTCGCTAATGCTTACATCCAAAGGAACATCTTCTAGCCCTCTGAATCCTCGGAGTTTGGCTCATGTCCAAGAGTTGTAAGCATTACTGTAGTATGTGTTCTGCATGCAGTCTTCGACGATTGTGGTGTTTTTCTTTGTATAATAGGTTGTTCGCTTACATCTCGTTCAGATTCCCTTTTTGTCTTCTAAGTCTATGGGTTTTGTATTTATCCTTTCGAGTGCATGACATACGACACACGTGTGAATTAATTGCACTATTTTTAGGTTAGTACGGGTTTTACGACGCATCTGTACTTAATGCCTTTGAGAGTATGTCATAGGCTATCCCACTGATCTTCTTTATCTTAATGCATAATGTCCATGGTTATGGGTGGTCAGCATTGGGTTTCGTGATATATTATGGGTAAGACTATTTTTCAAGAGTGGCTTATGATTTACACTCGCGTAGTCGGCGGCATGAATTCCAAAATAATCTTTGGGCAATGTATCCAGGCCGTATTGGTAAATTAATAATGAAACCTTCATACTCACCCCCATTGGCCTCATTTTACCGAAATTAGCCACCAAACACCAAAGGTCAAGCCGCGGAAATTTCCCCATTCGTATTTTGTATCGTTAGATTTAACTTTCTCCCCATGACTTCCCTTACTGGGAATTCGCGTCTGCTGGAATTTAGGATGACTGTCCCGTGAAGATTATGCAGTTGTTAATAGGTGCCACTCATCCTTTCGCAGGGCATTAAACGAAAGCATTGGTGTACTCTACAAAAGCGGTCAGCGAGCCAGCCCCTACCTGTCAGACCACGAGCGCGGCATTTTTGACGCGCTCTTTGCTCGGTACATTGCTTACGTGAACCCTCCCTCCCGTCTTCCAGCTCGCCTTGAATTGGGCGAGTTCTATGAACATGACGCTCTTTCTGGCGTTGCCAACGATCCTGACCGGCCATCTGCAGCTGAGCGCCAGGCCTGTGTTGATTGGTTGAAACAAAAACGCGAATTCCTCGCTACCCGGCCCCTTCTTGGCGGCTGGCCTAAGTACGTAAAACACAAGACCGAAGACCGCCTTGTCCTCTCCGGGTTTAGCCAATTTACGGATTTTTTGGCCGATGGTCTTGATATTCGGTATGGAGAGGTGGCTCGCCATGTTGACTGGACGAATACCAATGAGGTGAAAGTGAAAACCGATCACGGAGGTGTTGTCTACGCGGCGCAATTCTGTATCATCACTCTGCCAGTGGGGGTACTTAAAGGTCTGCGACACGAGAGCGCGGTCACTTTCGTCCCGACTTTGCCAATGAGGAAACGAAAAGCAATCGATAATTTAGGCATACCTCAGTCTGGCTCTGCTACTCATAATAAGGTAAGCTCTGTCGCCCACTAATAAAAATTGGCTAGGACGTGTTTATAGGCATTTTGTTTCGTCATTAAATTCTACATTCTGACAATCCACTAAATCGGTTCTCCTTTGATGGACAAATACTGACATGTTTGACATCGTCTACGCTACTCCACTATAGCTCAGACCATTACCACCTTCACTAAGTCTTAATTGAAGTTGTGGCATTATTGTCAACCCAGCCGCAAATAACAGATTCAAAGTATGGTGTGATTTTTAACTCGAGCGACTGAAAGCTCTCGCTCGCAATATTTCATTTACCCATTCTTTGCTTTCGTTTAGATTATACTTATCTTCCGTCCAGAGGATATCTTCTGGGATCGTAATGCAGCCCAGTTAAACAGTTCGGATGGTAGACTGCACGTGCTAAACCTCGATTTGCTGGGAAATCGAGGCACATTAATGTGTCATGTGTGGGGCGGTTCTCATCTGCGTCTTTTCGGCCGCTCAGACGGCGCCGTAATCGATGAGGTCATGGGCACCCTGGCCGGGATGTACCAGCTTTCAGCGCCTCTGCCTCGGCCCATTTTCAGCCACGTAACTCGATGGTCCGAGGATCCCTTCAGCTTGGGAGCCTACACTGCGGGAGAACCGAACAGTAGTGGCGACGAAGACAGGCATGCTTATGCTGCAAGTCTCCCTTCTGCTGTGAGTCGGTATTCCAGTTTTCAAGTTAATTGGCTCAATGAAGCCGTAGGATGGAAGAAAAGGGTATTGAACAAGGGCGCACTTAACACCTGTTCTATGGTGTCATCAATCGAATAACAGCACCACAGTCGAAGATATGTGAAGGCTTGCACAATGGGCTGGAAACAAGAAATCCCTGCTTTGCACTTGTCTACTCAAAATAGACCTGCTAGAAAAGATCGCTATGGGTCGCGCGCATGCTACCTCTTAAACCAAATATTTCCTTCCTTAAGAAAGTGCTAAAAGTGGTTGTCCGCATCAGCGTTAGAATTTATGTTAGTGGCTTCGTATTAAGCAAGCTTTTGACATTTAATGACACGTCCGGCTTTCGGTGAACTTTGTAGGCCTCTCGCCTTGCCTTTTTACAGATGATTAAATTTTGATAGTCCAGTCTGCTGCTCCTTTGACTCCGAGCCATGCAACCCAGCCACACCCACTGCCAAGTGACTCACGCGTATTAAATGATGGCCACGCACCTCTTACTAACGTCACTCTTCGGCAATCGCACTCGCCCTATTCTCGCATAAAAGTCTCTTGATTCTACCCTCCAGGCGTTGCCCCGATCTATTATGCTCGGGATTCATTGCTTTGTCACTACCACATGGTCCGTTAAGCTGTCCCAACAGCATCGTTACGTGGCGATGGTGGTCTCGAAAATGTTTCCACGTCAGTTTGTAGTTGCGTGGGTACAATGCAACCGACGAGTACAAACGTTTCGGGCTTGCTAGGCCTTTCTAAATTCTCCCAACACAATTTAAGGATCCCACGACCCGACAGGCGGTGTAGATGCTATGCTGTGCAGCCTCTCTCTATACACTACCACTAACACAATAGACTTCCTCTTTTTTGAGCGGCTTCTCAACAAATCCACTTAGTGATTGTCTCGAAATTTATCCACTCCGTGGTTGGACTTCTTTCATCTGTTATTGGTGCATTTAGTTTCATGATGGTAAGCCCGTGCAAAGTCAAAAAAAGCAACTAAGCTAATGACATACTTTTACACGAAGACAATTAAAACTGTGATATCTGCGCTGACCGTACGCGTGTATTCACTTACATTACATGTGGCGTCCTTCAAACCGTCTCAACTGATAAAGGCTGAATGAATTTATTTTCCCGTATCTCGACTTATTTCATACGCTGCCTTTTATTCGGACCAAGTTAGCATGCTTTGACTCTGTTTACGTGTAGCCAGCATCGGAATGCAGATGCAAAGGTATTTTATCGTTTTCCGTAACGTTTGAAGACCCCGTAGCCATTGCGGACATCACCGTCTCGAGTTGCCACTGGTCTGCTTGCTTCAAGTTGCTGCCGTGTGAGGTCGTCCTCCCGCGTCCATGCCATGACTCACTCGAGGCCGTTTCTCCGTGCCGCGTCGTTCCTCAATCGCGCCAATTTAACGCGTCTTCTCAGGCGCTAATCCCTTCTTACACCTCACGACCCGTACAACCGTAAAATGATTGCTCAACGCGATGAACATCTCGCAACATAGTGCGGATTTTCGTGTGAAGATGTCTTTCATAGTTTGACAAAGTAACACTTTAATTAGCTCGACTTAATTATAATATAGTTTGCAAAATCATTTACGCTGTTTTACAAAAATCCTGCTACATTGGGGCTTTTTATCTCGAGTAATTGTGAACTCTATCAGTTGTACCAGGGTGCAGATAGTACATTAATTTGCGTATTACGCCCATGTTGCTTTACCGAGGCACTTCCTTCAGGCTCCCATCAATTTTTCGCGATTCTCATCGTCTGATCAAAGAAATCTTCGAAAACTATCATCGGTGTTTGAAAGCGCTTTCAAACTCTCTCTCTCTGTGGCTCATTTTCACTTAATGGCGCATATGCAGCATTCCTGTTAATTTCACTGATTCAAATTTTCATGACCTCTCAATCCCCTGCAGCTGTCATTTGCACATACGAAAGGTTGAGTTTTCGTGCTGATAAAGGCATACCAGCCTCTGCAGATTCTGTCACAGCACCAGTGCTGTTTGTGGGTTTTCCCCGCCTTTTTCATGTTTCCAATTGCACACAAGAATTAAACAACCGAAGTCGTCTTAATGACGCCACAGCGTTGAACGTCTAGTCTAATGCACTTTCGATACACCGTCTCTGTAGTACAAATGCACAATTCTTGCCTGCGCAGCCTCCAAGTTTGGCTTATTTGCCACTTCACATGTCTGTTTTTGTGTGTTTTACTTGCTTGTTCGCTTGTTAAGACAGGGGCTTTCTAACCCGTGCTACTTAAGGCGGTTTGTCTTCTTTTATATCGCTGACATTATCCGACGCGAACAAAACAATTTTGTCGCTTGAAGGGTCTCATTAACCTGCTTCCAAGCATAACGTCTTCTGTTTTTCGCTGGACGTTTTGTTTAAATGCTTCCAGCGGTCTTGCTGGGTACTCGTCACCGATTTCCTTTAATTGTGTTTTTTACTGTTGATCCCCAGATTTTGTCCTGAATTTCTTTTTGAACTGAATGGTTTTCCTTGTTTGGTTCAATGGATTTCGATTGGCATGCAAAATAGAACCATGTGCTTTGAGCAGTCCTTTGCAATTCATTTCTAATAGAAGCATCAATGAGGGTTTTGACTGGAGTTTTTGTATTTTTGTTCTTTTAAAACGAAATGACGGAAATAAAACGGGCTTGCCATAGTGTTGGCGATCAGCTCATGGGTGGGCTCCAAATGTTCGTCACATCAGTGGTGGTAATTTCTAAAACAGTGTGCTCGGGTCTCTTTGTGGCGAAACAATGTACCTCACCGATTAAGTGTGACACTTTAATGCATGTCCTTGTAATGTACAAGGTCAACTTCATTTGCCGAGAAGAATCGACCTCAGCACAGACGAGGTTGGTCCATGAGGGAGTAACGTAAACATTTTATTGCCAGATCTATCCTTGACGACTGCGTATTGGGTGCTGGACTGATTAGATAGTTGGAACACAGATTTAGAGGCGCAGTTTGCTCATCTGTCCAGTACAAATGTTGAAGCTCAAATCTCGGCTAATTTGGGTGACTTCCCATCAGGCTGCCGAGGGTGTGCTAACGAAGTCGTAGTGTTTTGAATTCTCATTCTGGATCCATTACCACCTCCTTACAACAAAAATTATGCTAACTAATATCTCATCGCAGGCATTGAAGAGTGTGCCACAAAAATGACCCATGATAGTTTTTTTTGGATATTTTATGGCCCGTGAGTTGATTTTGTACGTCGTCGTGAAACCTCCAGAGTCGTCCAACGTTCCCGTTGCCTACTACTACGGCCCTGCACTCCAAGGGTTCCCATTTGGTAGGTAATCACAAGCCTCTTTTTCCATCTGCAGGGTCGGCCACGCCTTTTGTTTGCTGGTGAGGGGACAATTGACAGTCAGGGAGGGCAGCAGTGTACACACGGTGCCTTTTTATCAGGAATTGAACGCGCATTTGATGTGCTGGACCACATTCAACAGGGTGGTCGCTGCCGTCTTCGAGACGTCCGAATCATCGACTACCTGATCAGTCGAAGCCGAAAGAACCCCCCACCTCCACACGGAATGGTCCGTCGTGGAATGAAACCCACCTCTCCTCTCTCCAGCGGTAGCAGTGCCTCCCTTACACCACCTTCCACTCCCAGCAAAACCATCCACCGCAAACGTTGTCGTCGCGACTCTGGAAATTCCGACGATAGTCTAGATGGCCAGACAACACCCTCTTCTTCTTCAACTTGTTCCATGGATTCAGTTGGTCTGCGTCGATCTAGTAGACCCGCAACTTGGGCGTCATCTCGCGCCTCGAAAAATTCTCCTATTCCAAAGAAACGCGCCCACCAGTGCTATGTGATTTCCGATTGCAGTACCGACAGTGTTGGGGACACTTCGTCAACCCCTGCTTCTCCACTAGTGATTCGACTTAAATGCTGTTCTGGCGATGAGAGCTCGGCTGTGTCACCATTAGCATCTATTCGAGACAATTTCAAACTTCCGCCATCCGAATCTCGTGAAGTGCTCACCCCTGAGGCACCCAAGAGATAGTGTATTGGCTTTTTAACGTTCACGACTTTGTACATACCCTGTGCTTTCAAGACCCGTAGCCCTTTTCCTCTGTGTCGCTGAACTCGTCGTCTGCGCCGTTCGTGCACGGTTGCGTGCGTCATTACTTTCTAGCCCATTTGCTTTATTGTTTGAACCGAAATTCATTGACTTAGCTGCAGTTGTTGAACTGAGTACATGGCTTACTTATTTCTCGATTTGAATCTGTCTGCCTCCCCGACTTATGCCTAATTGCAGTGAATAGAATATGTAAGTACCCAAACTCCGAAATGGGTGTAGTTTATGCTCCTTTGCAAATTGATGCACGACCACAATGATTTCGGAGGTACGTGTTGGCTCACTTGGCTTTTTTCGGCCTGACGACCTTGGTCTAGGTTTCATCTACACATTACTCAATGATTGAATCAAACCGAATAAACTAATAAGAACGCTGTCCTGCTACCCCTTACGCCTTATATTTGGCAGCGTCCGCTGCATTTGCACTGGTTCATATTATCATATAGCAAAAAGAGTAAGCGGGAGTAGGTAGTTTAGTCTTGCTGTACTCTCGAATTGGCGATGGGTTGCTTGAAGCCGATTAATATATTTTTTTTAAATATGCGTATATAGTTGGTCACGGTTAGGCATTTCCTGGAAAAGTTTTTTTTTGCAATCCAGAGATTTCTGAATCCACCATTATGAAGATGGCTTTGGTGAACTGTTTTGATCAACCCCCTCTCGAGCACACCTTAGTGTAATTAAAATTTGACAAGACTACACAAGCAATTCTGTTTAGTAATCTCTAGACTATAACGAGAAAGTGATTCCCATTATTTTGGTAGATGGCTGCAAATGAAAAAGAAGAATATCGGTCAGTTATATCCAAATTCTCGGAAGCAGATGTGTAAGGATGGTAACACGAGAAGTAGACGATGGTAAAGGCAGTCGGTGTGGTTAAACTCCGGTAGTACTTGTGTTGCATGTTAAGGAAAGTAGTTTCCGTTAGCTGACACTCAAGTTACGATTTTGCTTCGTTGTCAACAAAAATATGCTAGAGTGGCTATTAAACCAAACTAACAAAGAACCTCTGCTTAGGATTTTTGAAAAAACTGTCCGACAAGAAAATTCAAATAGTTTATTTAACCATGAGATTTTGCAGTTTGGAAATGTGTTCCCAAAAGTTTTACGCCACCCCTTACTAACTTTTTGCTCGTGTCGTTAGCTGCTGACCCATTTTCATCAAAGCAATTACCAAATTAGTGAGCCTTGCAATCGAACGTGGATGGGTTAGTCAAATAATTTTTTTGATGGTCTATATATTAAAAAAATTTTTGGACTTGATCTTACCAGACAGTATCAGTTGCAAAAATTTCACTTGCAGGTTATGCGAAAAACTGTCAAGTCGGTGTATTTCTTAATTGATTTGGTTATCGTAAAATTCTGCCAGCTGACATAGTCAAATATATTAGACAATCAAGAAGTAATAATTCAATCCTCCTAAAAAATTGAGTTTCAAGAAGAGAACACAGGTACCTATTTTTGTTAGACTAAATATACCCAGAATTAAGCTTGTTATACTGCAGGTAAAAAAACCACATTCGCATTTTTTATACATAATATCCATCCAAAATAGGTAAATTCTGAGGAACCGATAATCACTTCATTTAGCTAGATACATTATCAAAGTAAATGTCAACGGCTGAATGTTCCACAGTCTACAGATAATGAACATCTTGCATTACTTTTTCTGATTGAGAAATGCATCAATTTAAAGTAATTTAATCATTCGACTTGGCTTTTAACTCAACACAAATTATTAAGAATATTATCCGAACTAAGTGCAAGGTCTCAAACGTGCTGTTTTTCTTTATTAACACATTGGTTTCACTCGAAGAGGAATCAGCAGGCAACAGTAAACGTCTCGCAGATGAAACACGAAAAGAATTAATTCTTCCCTAGATGCCAAAGTATGCGCTGTAGACCTAGAGCTTTTCTAATATTGATTGCCTTGTCAATTATAAATTATATTTTGAACTTAAAGTCACTACTAAAGTTGAAAAGTGAAACATTTGTATTTTGTTTAAGTACATGACAAAAGACTTAGGTTAATATTTCAGAGTCCTCACCAGTTCAAATGCCTGGTGAAGAATCGAATACGTTTGACAACATTGCACAAAAAAGAGAAAGCCTTCAAGAGATAAAAATAAATAATGGAGTCAATGCGTAAAGTTCTGCCACATTCCCTATAGTACTTCTAGATACGATGTTTTGAAAAATGCAATGTTCAAATACTTAACTGGGGAGCAACCCACAATTGAAAACCAGGTTATTGTCCTTAGCAAAATCAAAAATGCTAATTGCGAAGACGACAGGTCATCTAACGGTTGCGGATCCCATACTGATCAAACAGCCTTTTTGCAAAATGAAGTATCTCATTATCAAGTAATAACCTTCGCAGACTATCATCAATTTTATAGAAATTATTTAACGACGCTGATTTTGATCAAGATAGTTCTGCAGTTCAGGATATTTATAAAATTGCAAACGTCATTAGGACCACTGGAGAAGGCGTTGGATCTGATGAATATGTGAAGTTGAATTTATCTCTGAGGGACGTTATGAGTGATTATTCTATTGAAAACGTGAGATTTTGGGGAAAGATATTTGGTCTTAAAAGTAATTACTACATTTTTGAATGTGAACCTCACGATCTCGATGCATTTTCTGATATCGAATTGCCTGGTACAGTTGATGATACTGAAGAAGTACACACGGAGGTTGTCCATGAAGGTAAATCCGTGTTTGAATATGAGTGCTTGTATATCAGCAATAAAAACGTCACTGAATGCCATTTATGTTCTTATAGCGTTTCAGTATTATTTTTTTGACTTTTTTGAGGGATTGGGTCATGGTGTGTATTTTGAGTAAAATGGTTTACCACTATCCAAATGACAGAATTTATATATCATGTTAGTGTATTTCGATATTGCTGCCTGCAGTTTGTTAAGCATATTTGATGCCCTGTATGGTTCCTTCTCTGCTTTTTTTAGAAATTCTTGCAATCGAAAAATTGAAAACAGACCACGACGTTGGAATTTAGTTTTTAGGTGCTTGATGTTCATACTTGTTAAATATAATTTTTGGCAGTTTACTTGTAGCAAAAAAATCGGAGTGTGTCTTAGGAAAATCACTTTTACTGTTGTGTGTTATTTAACAAATTTAGATACCTTAGTAATTTCTTGGCGCAGGCATTTCCATATTTACCTTTTTGAAAAAAATAATTTTGAGGACTCTGATTATTAAGGTCTATACCCTTAACCAATGAATAGGATATTCAGAGTGTTCGAGACGTAAGTGCACTCTCATGGTGGACAAAATCAAAATTCTATAAAAGCGTTTCGTTTACATGACCTTACAACAAATATTTAATGTAAAACGTCATTTTCACTTCATTTTATTTTTTTTCAAATCATTAGGTTTGATCCACATCTAGTTTCCTTTGTGTCTATCGGGAACAGCGGATCACCAAAATTGGATTGGTATCAACATTATCATACTTCGCTTTAAAAATGCAAAATAAGACGTCTAAAAAAAGAATTTTAGTCAGTTACATCTTCCAAATGATTAGCATCTATTTGCTCATGTAAATGCAAGCTGTTCCATTTCAGAGACTTAGCATTTACTGAATAATTTGTACATTAGAACAGAATAACTCAACCGTTTTATAAACCAGAGACGGCTTTTAACAAATTTTAGTAAAGTGTTGCCAAAATCATTTCATTAAGCTAACAATTTTTCAACAATTTAAGATAGTTTTTTCTTTCCTCAATAACTGCGTCTTGATTTAAAAAAACAGGATGCTTTGCTTGTCACGAGACAGGCTGGTACAATTGTGTATACTTTGCATACGAATTTTCGCTAAATGCGTTTAAACATAACTTAGTAACGAAAACCAGAAATTTTTAAATCATAATATATGACTGAAATGTTTTGTTAGAACCTGATTGCATTTATTTTTTAAATGAAAAACAGCAAATAGGAAATTTGAAAAAAAAACATTTGCCTGAAGTCAATTAACAACTTAATTTCGAGATAAGTGAATTTTGTGATGAGATACTTTGTACCCAACCACTTCATAAAACGCCTAAATATCTAGACATTGGCCATCTTAAAAACAAACCGCCAACCACCTCCTAACTTTTCAATTAATTCCAAACGAACGAAGTGGAAGATGTACCTGTGCACTACAATGCGAAGGAAAATTTTTTTATTGGCATAGGGTGATAATTGTCAGAATATTGATTCACAGTAATGCCTACTTAATCCAAGTAGATGTCAATCCACCACTTCCAAAATCGCTTTGGAAATCACCACCAGATATGCCTCAAGAGGATGTCGGTGAAGGAGTGAATTTGCATATCTACTTCGTAAGCAACAGCCCCAGTGGACCGTGGACTAGATTACCTCATGCAAGACCTAAACACATTGTTCTTTCTCGTCTCGTGAGTTCTTATGCTAGATCTTACTTCTGCTAAATTTTTTATGAATTTAATCCAAACTCTTAGCAAATACCTCAGTTTACCCGAAATGTAAGTCTAAGTTTGGAGGCGATTTGATCTTTTTTTCCAACTTTTATTAAGAACCTTGACTGAGCACTCCTCACAAGTGACATTGCTTAAACGATATCCTTCCTTCCCGTTCTTTACCATAAACATTAGCTAACAGTATGAACGACACTTTGTAGTAAACACAAATATAATTTTAAGTTTACATGTGTAGAAATAATGTTGCGTTATGCTTAAGCTAGTATTTGAGCCCTTAATTTCCATCAAAAATCGACTTCAATCATTTGTGAATACGAACATTCTGCTACTATTTCACGAATCTGTATGCTCTCACATGTGCTAATGGAATTTAAAATAAATTTAAGTTAATTTAGCTTAACGGAGGACCGGGAAAAATTGAGGGTATTTAAGTGTACACAGTGATGTTGTTTGAAATCTTAGATGAAACGATTACTCCCGTAACTCGTTTGTCACCCGTGCGGTCATGATCGACGAAATGCATGTAAAGATGCTAGAGGCCTTGAGCACGTCCTTACGCCATGCGGTTCCATCTTGCTCAAACAGATACACAACTTCTTTACCGGTAACCTTGAAGCGGCAGTTACAAGCTACCCCCAGTTCCCGGGAACGGAGGCCAATTACTTGCGCGCTCAAATCGCTCGCATAAGCGCGGGTACTCAGCTCGCCCCAGAAGGATACTACCGACATCGAGTGGAAGAGGAGGACGATGCGAAAGGACTTACAGAGTGTGAGGAAAACGAGGACTACACGGAAAAGCCCGTCAGCGAAATGACTCCGGAGAACTGGGTACACAAGACAGCGTACATCCTACCACAGGGTCGTGTTACATGGTAAACATGAATAATAATTAGACAGCATTGATTAATGAGTTTATATAGGCGTCCGGGGTTTGCTGGTACACTATATGTGCAAGAGCTAACCAACTTTAGGATCACTAGTTTTTACAAAACGACTTCCTTTTAAATAATGATGAAAACAAGTTGACCTCAACGAAAGTGCTTTGAGAATTTATGCTAGTGCAACCCTTGTGCGGCTCAGATCTGCCGTTGCCGCAGTAGATTTGCATTTGAGTTTAGTTCTAAGCGGGCTTAAACTTTGTCGAAAAGTTGCTTTATCAAAGTAGTTCAACTTTTAGAGAGCCCTATGTTATTTGGAGAATTGTGATAGGTTACAAACCACAATTGGTCATTGTATAAGCTAATGCTAAGGGAAAGCACCTATAGATGAAGAGGTGCTTTGGAGAATTTTGACAACTCGGCCTGAGATTGGCTGAGGAAATGAAAGGAACGACTCCACGGTTAAATAAACCTCAAGATCTCAAAATCCGGCCACTGCCAATCAGTGAAAAGGCAAAAAAGTTGGCTGTTTAATGAAATTATTTAATTGCCATATTTGTGTATTTATGGTTAGCCAATTTGTTTTTATTTTGATTCCACTCACATAAAAATGATTCATTTAAAGAAACTTCAAACTTTGGCAATTCGAATTCCTCGTTCCTGTGTAATACCTGCTGCTGTGTAATCGAAGTAAAGAAAACGGCGTTTCAAATGACCTGAATGGTTTTGGGTGTTCAGCAAAGGAAATTCAATTTAGACGTTTGATAGAACAAACCCTATTTTCGAATATGCCAGGACATTAATTCGCCAGCGTATTTCTGCAGGCTTGACCCCAGAGAAGTAGAAAGCGAAAGTGACGACGAAGAAGCCGAGGGAGATGAGGTCCCCAAGTTAGTTGGTCTTGGCGAGGCACCACAAGAGGAAAGGGGACCGCCGATCCTCACGCCAATTCTGAGCGACATTCCCGTGCACGGACAAACACCTTGGATAATGCGACGCTTTTTAAACGGCGCCTATATTCGCATATCATCACAGTTGTGGCCAGGTGCGCATTGTGTCGCGTGGCAAGGGTAAGACCACATTATATCCTTAATATCTTTAAACGATTTCCAGGATAGAGTCGACACCCACCAATAACATTTGCAGATGCGGTGGACACGGGGCACCCACAATGGCTGACTTAACTGTAATGCATGCCCATATGCGATTTTGTGGCAGGTGTTGCAGATGGGGAGATGGATGCTGCTTTCTGCTGTTTCAGTACCGCAATTATAGAACAACTAGTTCAAGTAAATCTGTAGGCCAGAGTGCTTTGCAAGACTGACTGTTTTCTTTAAATGTATCATAATCGAGAGCCAAAATTACCACAAAACTAACCCAAATCAAGATGCCATAAAGAGAGGATTTGGAAGCATTAGTATTGATGAAAGACTGACATGGACAAAAGCATGGTCCTTACTACAGATCATGAAAGGAATAGTGCGCGTCATGAAATGTGTGAGTCACGCTGCTTACCAAATTCACCAGAAAAGTAACTTAAAATAAATTTAAAACGTCGTGGATTTATCAACTGAACGTTTAGTCCTAATTCCGGCACTACTATGGTCTTATTTTAAGTTTTAATGATTTAGTGGATTCGACAATATCTACGTGGGCTGGGGCCTGAAGGCGGTCGGGTCAGGGTTTCAGCCACTGCTACCACGCGTGCAAACTGCGGTGTGTGAGGACATTAAGGAAATTGATGATCCAAGTCCACTGGAGGAAGAGAAAAACAAGCAAGAAGAAGAAGACGATGAGGGGGAAGACGACGACACCGAAGAAGGACAGCCGGAATGAGCACAGTGTCGGAATGTTGTTCGAAGCCACTTTAGGCGACTGTACACTGCGTACTTATTGGAAAATAGATAGAACAAAAGGTTTTTCCTATTTGCACGCAGTCGGGCTCCAACTACTTACTTCTGGGTGCGTACCGCTTCCCCATCGACCGAATGGAAGCGGTAATAGTGATTTTAGGCATTGAAAACTGCCATGAACAGCTGAAAGGAGCACGACCCTTAACCTGCTGTGTGGTGATTATTAAATAGAATGATAAAACTTCGTATAAATGTTACATTAAACACCTCAATTTACCGTTTGAAGTGGAAGAGATTATGCATTACCCTAGTCTTCACATGCTATAGTGAACTGTTAAAGTGTCTTGAAACCTTACACTGAATGACCGCAGTGCCGTGTCCTCGAAATATGAGTTTTCAAGAAGGAATAAGAAGGCATTCGCTAATACCCTCAGTTTACTGGCTAACCAGATGGATTACTTTCCATGGTTCCTGAAGGCTGTTAGTTCGTCAAATGCGCTAACTTACAGTTACACCCCCACCCAAAACAGGTTTAGGGAAGAGCAGCGCCAAAAAATTGGTTGCAGACAGATCTGACTGACACCCACCAGAATGCGCGCCTCTGATTGCTGTTCCTTGGAGCAAATCCCACAAGTACCATTATGCGTCGGTCACGAGTGGAAAATTGTGTCCAATTTAGCACAAAATAACCAGCACACAGCGGGATTTCAGTTAGCATAAAAAACTAAACAGCATGTGTATTTAGTTTGAACAAGGTTGTCGCATAATACGAGTTTTAATGTAAATGGAATGTGTGCCTCGTCCTGTACGTGTTAAGCAGACAACCTAAATTGCAACACACACTAACGCTAGTGAGGCTTTTAGAAAACGACTATACAGACCAAGATACATTTAAATAACTGTCAGGCAAGGTTTACATCTGTACAATGCGACAATGTCGAATCGTTCAGGGCATTACGGTTTATCTCCCTGGTTCAAATCTTTGGCTCGACCGGTGATAAGTGGGACAGAGGCGTCGAGACCGCACAGTCGGAGGATGTGCACCCGCTCGTGACGGTCGATGTAGTGGCGAAGGCTCTTCGCCCCCCGCCAACCGGCAAAAGCGATCCGGCAATGCGGTCGAAGGCTTTTGTCCGGCGGCTAAAATATAATAATTAGAAAATAACCTTAAAGCACGCTGCGCGAATATCTACGTGTCGGAAAAGGCCTCACTGAACTCCCCTATATCTAAGAATATGGCGTGGCTGCAGCAGTCACCACACTAAGACAGTTCGATGTGATGTCCTAAGGAAGCACAACGTACTACCACCTAATCCAGTACCCGCGGTTTCATTTGCAAGCCCAGATCAGCTCTCACAAGGAAAGACGCACTGCATTTGCGCCATAAAATTAAAAGGCTTGGGGAACAAACCAATGTCCCCCGGTGACAAGGAGTGTAAAGACTAAGTACACACAAGCGCAGCACCCTGTAAGTATAGCTAACCAACCAAGGGGGTTTCGAAACGGTGAGCAGGTGCGGCAGAAGCAAAAGTTGCTACAGGCAAAAGGCATTACGTTGAGTGGGTCGGAGGCGGCGAAGGGATTGTAGTCAATGAGAACAGGCCCGACATCGAGCTTCTCCCACTGGTCCTGTGTGGCTCTGGAAAAGCGCTCGGCCAGTGGCATCTCTTCGCACAGGAGCAGGACAAGGTCGTCGCGCTCACTGGCGGACAGCGAAAGGCGACGGTAACAAAGCTAATGAGACAAAGAAGTGAGTTTAGAGCAGGTGATACACGAAATTGATATAGATCAGACAGCATAATAACGTGCGAAAATGTCAGGAATGACAAATGTCAAGTTCAAGTGATGTTCTGCACAAAATAAGTACTCCGGGGATTTTAAGATAACCAAAACTAAGCACTCACCGATTCCAATGCAATCATAGTTTTAGGGCTGCAATTCAAACCCTCGCAAGAGGTTTTTATTCAAGGTAAAGAAAGCTGAAATTAAGATACCTTTCTGTGACTTTAATAAATTCAATCGAAAAAAATCATGATAACAAACGGGCATCACTTTGACACGTGAGTGGGACTTAGACATGCCTGAGGCGTTTGAAAGGGCAACAATCAATCCCCTAACACTTCAAGCCTCACAAAGCAACGACACAGAAATGAATGGTAACGAATTACTTGTGGAGGGTACTGTTCCATACTGGTCGATTGAGGGAGGAACGCAGAGGCCAGGTGGACTCCATCGTGAAGTAGACGGTAGCCAACAAACTGCTTGTCATCGCTGAGAGCAAACAACTTCACACCGCCGCTCACGATGTGAAGACCTAAAGGGGGCAAATGCGACAGGCGATGAAATTCATTTCCACACTTTTAGGAATTCTAGAAGCTTCCCTAACATTTACTACCCATAATGTACACACAGACAATGTCCCGTTCGCCTACACAGCTGAAGCCAAGACACTTTGCGGGACCTTATTAATAAAGACCTGCTAAATCGATCTGGTTCAAGCCGAGTTTTGTAAATTTACCAGTTAGCTAAAACGCTAAATCAATTCGCAATCCCTCATCTATCTCCAGACAAGCAAATCACCACATTCCTGAAGTGGAAATCATCCAATTTACAAAATGACTTGATTAGAAAAGTCAATTCTACAGGAACACGAACGCGGCCCATGCCAATGCATAGAATAACACTTAACTTCTGTGATATTGGCCTATTTTAGGTCATCCTTTTTTACTATTGACGTAACCAATTAAATGATGACATACTATGTCGGCTATGCTTTAAAATCGGACCCCGTTAGGACCGAAATTGATGGTAGAAGTAGATGCGGTGAGAATGCAAGTGACACATTGAAGAGGTTAGTACAACAAGACTAATGTTCTGACACTTATAGTTAAATCCCAAAATTTGAGCCACATAAAATGTAAACAGCGTTTACCTGAAGACACAACCACTCCACGAAAATGAACACGCTCAGGAAACATAATCTGCCACTTTGTTTGAAAGTGAATAATTTAAAAACCTCTTTTGGTGTTGACAACGTAACAACGACAAAGCAATTAGCAAAAATAGGAAAAAAATAGGCACACTCATAAGAAACAAGAATCAGGACAAAAGAGCCTAGAAAATTTACCGGTGCCAACATTTGCTTGGATCACTTTTTTAACGAGGGCGTTGGTGTAGTAGAGAAATCGTCTCCGAATGGGGTCGTCGGTACAGCTGGCTCTGTAGAGGATCTGGGCAGGGTTGAGGATTGCCAAGGTCTTACCACCTTTTTCGATGCCATAATACTCACGGATCTTGGGCCAGTCATTGTCAGTGGCTGGATCCATGTAAACAAAGCTGCTTTCCTCCCGTCTGTATTCTGTCAGACGTGCCTTCTTTGATGCGGGTGCATTACAATTGGCAGATACTTCAGTTTCGATTACTGAACGCTCCGTACTCGCAACTAAAATGGGGATGAGTTTGTTGTGAATCGTGCTGATTCACACTCGTCAACCTGGTTACATACAGTACACCTTTTCACAGCATGTCGCCAGCCGCGCGGATCCTCAACTCCCTCTCATTTGCACGATGTTAGCCCATCTATGACTCACACATCAAAGCTATAAGTACACGCGCAAATGTCACCCACACACACACGACGACGACCTAGTCGAGTTCCCGGTTGACTCTTTGTCCCTTCGCAGACTTCATCCTTGTTGAGGAGTTAGTGGTATATGGCGCCTCAACAAGTTTAACTCGCATACACAAAAGGGAAATTCTGTAGATTAGAAAACTATGTGATCCGTCTCATAGTCCAGTTCGGAGGCAAAAGTAGTAAATCGTGAAGAGATCAAGCTCAACAAATTTTGGTACATCGAAAGACCACCGTTGAGTGGGTTACATTACTCCTCATTGGTCACAGTTTCGTGAATTTGACAAAATCCGGTTAGCATTCAATCTGGTTTGCATACTTGTTGACCAAGTACTACTGTCACAAAGATGGCGCTTACGTGAAATTTGTAAGGGATTTTCATGAAAGAGTACAACATGTTTAGTGAACATGTAAATCTGAAAATATCTGAAGTAGACTAATACCATGGCTACTAAGCACTAACAGGGGTTAATGTATAAAATTGAGGTGTTGCTAGAACTCAGTTAACAGAAAAATCATAAAGTTGGTCTATTATACTAATACTATCACAATCTGCGTTTTGGAATTTTAATTTAATCAAAACACTGAATATAAGTTAATAAACAACAACTTTTTCATCACTATCGCGGTGAAATAGAGCGATAGACCGTACTGCATTCGAGTAGAATCCACAAGAGTACTTTTGAGGATTTCAGACAACAATGATATGCCAAAATTAAGGGGCACCCACCATTATTTGATGATTCACAGTTTCCCTTAGTAATTCGCTGGCGGTTCCTCATCCAAGGCAGGTCAGTCAGTTTTTCGAAGACAGCAATGAAGAACCCACCAGTATTTTGATCATGAGGGAGCACACGTCGACAGTGCTCTAAATGAAGTTCTTCCGCATTTTCTGGAGGGAAAAGGCTGGTTTGGACAGTCCCTCGCTCTCTAAAATAGGAAATTTTAATAAAAAGGATTCTTGGATCAGTGGAGTTGCAACCACTTGGCACGTACCGTTCGGGAAGCTCGCTATGAGCCGTGTACCATTTATCATTACCCATGAGGATTTGCCAACTCTTCAACCCCTGACGAGCGATAAAGCCTCCGTCCTTGGCATTTGTACTATTTGGAAGGCACAGCAGATCAGGTTCAACAAGTCGAACTGTGCCCTTGCACGCGGCGAGAACAGATGCAACTACGGCTTCATCCTCAACCGGATTTAAGCTGCAGGTCGAATAAACAAGGCGGGGAAGATCATGATCATCTGGGGATTCCGGAACGCGAAGAAGCTCAAGGCCACGGCGCAGGATTCTTTTTTGTAGGTCATGGTGACCTCTTCCAATTTTTGGGGTCCATCGTGCCCAAATATCGGGACTCTTCCTAAGGGTGCCATCTCCACTGCATGGTACATCGGCAAGAATTCGATCAAACAGCATCTGCTGCATCTAAAAGCGCATTGCTCCCAAGAGATGATTTACCATGTCAGGGTTTTCAGATGAGTTAATAAATAAACGGGGATAAACGGATGCGTCTTCTTCCGTTAGTATGACGCAAGGGCTTTGAAGGCGCTTGACTTGGTGCACCATCATGTAACACCGTTGACGGTCAAGATCATTTGCAACAACGATACCAGAGGGTTCGGAATAGTGAGTAGCATCTGAACACTTGGATTCAGCATCGGCGTGCAATAACTCAACGAGTTGAGCTGATTTTGACCCTGGAGCAGCGCAGAGATCCAGGACAGCGTGGTGTTCTTTGATATCCAGAACAAGTGGCGGCAACATACTAACTGCTTCCTGACGACTTAAGTTGCCTGAAAACAAATGGGTGCAATTTCCATAGTGCCAATTACGTAACAAAATAAGGCATAACGAAAATTTAGACATTTACCTGCTTCGGACTCTGAGACTAAAAATTTTTGTAGTTCCTTCAACTCCGAAGACTTTCGAATGGTCAAGCGACTAGCATTTATTTGCCAGGCTGTGAGTCCGGGGTACCAGCGGAGGGGAACCACAGTTACATCACCTGCAGAATCGGTAACGGATTTATTAATGATAGATTGGAGATAATTTTCGCGAAGTAATGAAAGAAGTTCGCGATTCTGTTGACGAAAACCAGTTGTGCGAAATGTCACAGGCAATTCTGTCTTTAAAGCCTGTAAAAGCAGCTCAAAGTCGGATTCATCCAAAGAGAGTTGTTTCCTATAATATTCCTCGAATACTGGATTAGACAAATCCATGTTCTTAAGGGTTTCAGCACCAAACTTAATCGTCCGACGTTTACCCATGCTTAGGAGAGGCAATGTTATTTGTAGATCAGTTGACTGTCTGGACATTGGTAAGGTGAACAAAGTAGATTAATTGCCGCTAATGTATTTGGAACGACTAATCGAAAATACCAATTAGACTAAGATCGAGGTTTGCCAAATAAAAAAATATTTTGCTCTCTTATTTATCTGTACCTTACCTAGTTATTTTTTTTAATTTGAACAATAATGATTCCAGTTTTTTGTGATTCAAATCCATTTGGACTAAAGATCAACTGAGTTAAATGTTTGTAGGTACAGATAATAGTATTATTATGATTTTCTCAGGTTATTTGTGGTTTATTTTGTGATTGGTTGTTATACTACACCATTTTTGTGCCCAGCTTTTATGCTATAATTAACGTCAGCTGTTATGACACACAAGCAAGCTGCGTTGGACCTCGATGTCCTAATTAATGATCTTGGAAAAGCATGTAGATCGGCGTCCTATTCAAAAGTCGTGACAATTTGTGATAAAAGTGAGGCATCCCATTTTTCCGACGGATAATAGTCTTAAAGTCTTCACCTTCTAATTCTTATGCCCAACATTGCAAAGTAGTTGCTCTCATCCACCAGGAGCGGTTTGACGACTGTTTGGAGTTCTTCCGAAAGCAAAAAATAACGTCTGTTCTTGCCATATGATTCATTATCTTTAGTGATTATCACTTGGAAAAAGCCTACTGTGAATATCGCTTGGATCGACTGGTAGATGCTCTGAAAACCGTTACGAATTGTCCAAATGAGACACAGCCAATAATCGAGCTTAGATCGCAAATAGTAAATCACATTAGTCTTAATGTTGTAGTATTATCGGCTTGAAGAGTTCGAAAAGGCGATAGAAGGGTATGATAAACTAATGCAAACCTACCAGGTGAGAATATTGTCGATTTCTGATTTGCCCACAGGATGATTATCAAGAGGAACGTTTGACAAACCTTCTTGCTGCTAAGGCTGCGCTTTCTTGCTTCCAGGGAAAGTCTGCGGTTTGTCCTTGATTTCATCCGTGGTCATATGCCTATAGCCTCTTAATTATTCCCCTGCGATGTTTGAAACCGATTTTAATGCGGCGTGCTACTTCATCGGTCGGAGGGACTACTCAAGTGCTCTAAAATATCTTAACAAAGCAGAAAGTATGTCGTCTCCCATTAACTCTGTTATTTTAAGAATTGTGTTTGGAAACTTTCGAAAACGAGACTGATATAAGCGAGGATCAAATTAATCAAGAAGTGGCACCAATACGGTTGGTTTTTAATTCTTTTTTGTCCCACTAAGATACTATATAAATACCAAATGCTTCCTTTAGGGCACAAAAAGGCTTTGTATTGCAGCAACAAAAGAAAGACGATGCGGCTTCTGAAATCTACCACACAATTTTGCGTCAACGGTGTGTTGCTTTCTTATAGTATTCTAATTGAGTGTCCGCGACTTCTATTTTCGTTTCTGCGTTTTAGGTCGGGTGATCCCCCATTAACAGCTGTTATCGCAAATAATCTAATTTGCATTAACAAGGGGCAAAACGTTTTTGACACTCGAAAACGTATAAAAGCATCTTCGATTGATGGCTTGCAGCACAAGCTGTTCCAAGCTCAACGCAGCTCAATTCTTGTGAATCAGGCTTTATTTTACTTGCACAACAACCAGGTACTATCTTCATTTTACATTTAAGCCTTCCTTTCAGCTTGACGCCTGCCATTCTAGAGTCAAAACGGTGCTTGATGAAGACCCAAGTAATATTCGAGGTGTCATTTTGTCAGCTGTACACCTAACCCGATGCAAACAACTCGCCGGTGCCATTAAAGTTTTGGAGGTAATGTTTTTCTGTGTGGTAAATGCGCTTCTGTTAGTATTTTACACAGTCTCCAGCCTTCGAAGATGTCGATGGCCAAGGTCGTTTGCTCGTTGCCCTCTTGCTAGTTCATCTACAACTAATGGCTGCTTCTGGAGCTCCTGCTAATGTACCCAGTGCGCCATTGCGTACTGCAAACATACCATTTGAAGTTGTCGAAACACTCTCTAGGCAGCTTTGTAAACTATTGTCCGTAGAACAAGTTGCCCTGCCAGCCACCGCCTCTCTTCGAGTCGCACTTCTTTTGGCCACCAAGGCATCCGATGGTGATTCGGTTGATGAGGCGGCCGTGAAGTGTGCGAAGACTCTGGTCCTGGAAACGCTCGACTTTTGGTGTAAGAGGTCGTCGAATGTGAGTCTTATGCTTTTTTACATAATGGGTTTTGATTCAAGAAAGGGCCTTCACAGTTTCATATTGTCTCTCCATTGACATTGCGCTATACTGTCGGTCTGAAAGTTTATTGCCAATATTCTGAACGGTACCTTTTTTTGTGATTGCTCATATGTTTATTTTGCCTTTCTAAAAGACCAAGGAGTTTTGTATTTGACAGCGACTGGCTGACATTCACAGATATTGTGCCCGTCCTTTCTGTAAATTCGGGTCAAAATTTATTTAATTTGTTTGATTTCAGAAAGTTGACAATGACCGACTCCTTGCTCGGTGTATCGATTTCTTCCGATTTCATGGTTTCGCCGAAGATGCCGCTATTCTTCTGGAAAAGCGTATCAGTGCTCTGAAGAGTTCCGGTGCTTCGGATGACGCTGCCAAGAAAAAGCAGCAGAGTTTGTTGGCACTTCTTATTCAGGCCTATTCCAAGTTTGATCAGGTCAAGGCGAGTCAGGCTAGTCGTGACCTTGAATTTACGGAAGCATTGGGCGAAAAGGATATAGACTCTCTTGAGTCTACTTTCCTGTTCGGGGTGAAAGGTATCAAGAAATTTGGGCGTGGTCCCGTCCTGCCAACACCAAAAACGTAGGTTTTCTTAAATTTGTCAACGCTTTCTTAAACACTGTGGCTTTTTCTAAGGCAGTGGGTTCTTCATCAAGTCGCAGTAACGACACTATTCGCCTGTTATTCTGGGATGGTGGGGTCTATTAGAATTCTTCGGAAACTAGAGATTCTTAGACACTGCTTTAAATCCAAAGCTGTATTTAGTTTTTACCTTTGAATAATCTTTGAACGGATTTTTATTTTAGCGGTGGTAAGTCTGGAGGTTCAGGAGTTGTCGAGAAAAAGCACAAGAAAAAGCGTAAGCTTCGTCTTCCGAAGAATTATGAACCCGGTGTCCCTCCCGACCCAGAGCGCTGGCTTCCTCGTCGTGAGAGGACCGGCTACCGTGGTAAACGACGCGACAGGCGGCAGGTTAATCTTCTTCGTGGCCCTCAGGGCGCAACGTCATCGGTGGCCCCCGAGTTGTGAGTTTTACCTCCACTTATTTCATGAATATTTGTTCCATCTGATTTGGCTGATCTCGCTTCTATTTGTGTTAGTATTTTCAAAACTTTCCACTCAATTTCAAAAAATTGTTGCTTCTAATGGTCGTGGCAATTAGAGGAACCAAGTTATTACCCCTTCCATCGGTATTGTGCCTTGATCCAAAATCTGTAATTACGAACATATTTTTTAAGAATAACGTGCATCCAGGAAGGCATGTGCTTAATGTGCCTGCTAGTTGCTCCGATAATACCCTTCGTTAGTTTACTTTACTTCTGACATCAGTCAATTTGCAACGCAATTGTCTTTGCAAATTGAAATGACTATTTAATTGATAGCCGCGGTACATATACAAACTGTTGGCGAATGTAAGCTAGATTGTATTCTCTGTACATCGAATTAACAGGGTATTTATTAGTAAGATGGGCTGTATCTGGAGTGTTCCAGTAATGTACAACTTAGGTGACAGTGAGTCGGCCTCAACGGAGCTGCAAATCTCGAACCTGCTTAACTTAGTATAAGTTACCGTCGAATACTCGTCTAGTTTAAAGCAAAAACAATAATCGTATCTTTTTAGATAGATTCACTGGTCACCCCTTTACTTTCTAGGGATGTTGCGAGTGGAAGTGCTCCCGCGACTTCTATATCGTCATCCACAGGACCAAATAGCGCCACCACAACAAATGCAAGTGGGGCTAGTGGCGCTCAACGTCGACCTCAAAACAAACCCCCAAAGGGCAAAAAAGGGAAGAGACGTTAGACCATTCCTAACAATGACTAATATTTGTCTGATTTATGTTTTGAGTGGAATGAACGTTTAGGTAGCAACTGCTTTTATGCTATCTCCCAGACCGAGACATGAGCTATACCGAGTGAAGGAACAAATGGGGAAGAATGTCATGGCAGTTTAGTTTTCCGTATTTTATACGTTATATGGGTTCAGGTTTGGCCCTAGTGTCCACGAACACAAACAGTAATGTTTTGACAGCAAGTCGCTAGATGAAGTCTTCCAAGAACCCTGTACATTACACCTAGGCTTCAAAAAATTACCGTAGCAAGCATTTTAAGTAAACACAAGATGAATTTGAGAATATGCTTTAATTTGGGAAGACATTCTCGCGAGCAAGTCGCACAAACAATGACAAAATTGAAATGTACAGTTATTGTGGCAGTGACAGACCACAAGTTTATTTAACTAATGCATAAACGCGGAACACCAACTGTCTAAAGCATCGAAACAATCCTTGGCTTGCTTCTGGTTGGCTGACGAAGTTATTTTCATCCAGTCAATGAACAACTCTTCGTCCTTATTCAGCAGGAGGTATTGGCCAAGTACATTGTAGGCCATGCTGTAGCCCTTCCTTTTCAATTTTTGTCCGAGAACTTCTCCAATGCCTGGCAACTCGAATACACTTTTGTCGCCGATTGGTTCGGATACGAAATCTCGGTGCTTCTGGGACGTTGACATCTACTTACAAAAAAATGCAGGCGTTATAAAGCTGAATCATGATATTGTGCATGATTCAGACGAATCTAGTGTCTATTTGGTTAGACTGATCCTAGAAATAAAAGGTGCTCGAATATAATCGGCAAGAAAACGGCACTGTATTTCCGTGCGGCAAATGGGTTGTCGAGTTAGTCAGGGAGTTCCGACGTCCCGAGGAATAAGGATTTTCTAAATACCCAACCAAATGTTTACTTAGGTCAACAATGAAAGTTTGGGGCCGACAGCTTTATTGAGTATCAATGGATGACCACGCTCAGGGCCCATAAGTGGGCACACAACAAACCTTAATGGTGTACGGAAAGCAGACAAAGTGCGTCACCCCCTGGATTCGGCATCCGCACTAGAGCTTCGACTTCGACCATTTGCGAGTGATCATATTAAGGGCTAAGTATAAGCGGATAATTTATAAACTGAAATGTAGTTAAACCAATTTGCTTTTTTTAGTATAATAAAGGAATAAAGACACATTTTATGAGTAGATGGTATATAAGGACATTGCGTAATTAAGCATTAAATAATACTGAAGGAATGGAAAAAACGTAACATCTGATTTCAAAGTGAATGAGATTTCAAATAGTTCAGAAGTAGTAGCCTAAACTTATTTACTCGTCTTAACATCAAAAACACAAAAACATAATACAGTAACGTTTGTGACAGCAATAAAAAAAAAATGAAAAAGGCTACATTGGGCTGTAGAAAATCTTCCAATCAGCAATTTTTAAGAACAAATCCGTTAAAACAAATCGTACATTTGAAAGAAAACAATTGCAAGCTTCTTTAATAAATCTACATAATTCGACTACATTATCATTTATTAAACCATGCATTTTTTTAAAAAAATTTCCGCATTTGTTTTTTTCAAAAATCAAATCTCACAATACAAAAACCTGAAAAAAGACTATCCCAGTTCATTTAAAATTTAAGCACTTTTCAAAAAACCTAACGATAGAAAAAGCTATAAAACAAGACTGTTTAGCTTCTAACAAATGCAGTAGAAAAAAAAATGCAACCTTAAAGAATCCAATAAAATTTAATTATATTTTTAAACATTTGTTCGTTAGAATGACAAAATTTGAACCGGAGCAACTGCTACTTTTAGGTTCATTATGAGATTTTTAATAACAGGAATGATTTGAATTTTAAGTGAGTTATAAAGAACAGCTGTTTGGAACTTTGCGATATTTAAATCTTTAAAAAAACTGTTGACTTACCAACTATTTATTAGGATTTTCCGCACACTTAACAAGGAATTATTTCTGCATGATGCGGTAAATTCATATCGCATGCAGTTTTCGCCTGCTAAATTTTATTAAACGATGGAATCAACAACAAATTTTGTACAAAAGTTGGTACATACTGAGTTGCTACTTAAAACTAATTAGTTTCCCTGATGTCTTTTCAACAAACCTTCTTGACAATATATTTTGGTACTTACCAAGCAAATCAGCCTTAGCTTGATTAGGTAACTTAAGTTTATATTTCAGGCTCACAATCGCTCTAGCAGTATATTTTAAAAAAAACACGAAATAATGTCAAAAATGCGTTTTTTTCATTCTTTCATTGTCCGTATTATCACCACCTGAATTTGCTTTGTTTATTTCGACGCTATTTTGACTTTAAACTATTTGTAATCTTACAGAATAATGCAGAATCATTGCATTGGGCAAACAGCACCTCACATACAATTAATTATAATGGCACGGATCTTATTCTGCAATAAACACATGGATTCAGAATCAGCAAAATATTTGAACAAAATTGAGTTATTTTCAAAAACTCATTTAAGATGACACAGGATGTGAAATTTGCAACGTGATTTTCGTACACTTATTATTTCTGTACTGATTTTGTTGGACGGCCATTCATATTCCAAGCTGCGGTACGCACCGATATATTATTCGAAAAATTCTGAAGCATGCTTACTGAGCTAGAACCTATATAGGCATGAATTTTTGATGTCATCTATCTTAGACCGTGACTCCATTAACACTGACGTTTAGACATGCGATTGTGGATTTGATGTTGGAACCGAATGTATTCCACGCTATCGTACTCGCATTTCGAGGATATAGTACTTAGGGAAAAAGTAAGTGTTGGATTAGGAGGAGAAAAGCCAATTCCGGTGCAGGGTTGCCCTTTTCTCTGAGTCTTATTCAACGCTGCTTGCAAGTTAAAAGCTGAACAAGCAATATTCACGAAAAATTTCCTATGTTATTTATCTGCTACATATTTTCTGCACACGCGCTGTCCGTTGGCATTTAATTTTGCTGAATAAAATGGACTGTAATTATTTATTACCCTAGTCAGTATATCCGATCGGTTGCGTCAGTGGTTCGCAAATGTTTGATAAATGGTTGTTTAGAAAGATTAACATTTTACTACAGACCACATCAAAGTAATCAGCTGCAATTGTACAAGCAATCTGATTTTTCAATTTCGAATATTAGCAAGATACTTATAAGTATACATAAAGACACTGTAGGATTACCGGATGTTAAATAAAGTGAATTTTTAAAAAAATTTACGGTTACAGCTGATTTTATTTAAATTCCAAAACCCAGTGCTCTTTGCAAAATTCGTTAAATACACATGTGCTACTGGATTGTCAAATTTTTCTGTTGCCACTGTAGTGAACTGACAGCCGTCCCGCACGAGTGTGAGTGCATAAGGGCCCGTGTGTACCGATGACCCATCCTCTTTTGTTATTGGCCTTTGTCAGCATTCGCATGTTACGCACGCGTACTCATGCGCACACAAAGACCCTTGGATGTTTTGACACCGATAAACCAGTCGTGTCCGCTCTCGCCACTTTTCCATTCTGTTCGAATTGTCTTGGGCTGTTAATTAGAGGGTTATAAGGTTGTGCAAATATCAAGGTACTACACCATCACGGATACACCTGCGGTTGCCTGGGAAAAAAAACGAATGAAAAATTAAATAAAAAATGATATGTCCACATAAGCTAATTATATATGATTAGCATTATGCTGTTCCAATTTCTTGGTAGCGCATTGTTACGTCATAGAGGACTGAAAATCCAAAAAAAAACGTTACTTACCTCGAAATAAGAGAAAAAATAATAAAATGGGAATGGATTTCTGCTCACTGCTTTACTTAAGACAACTTTAGATATTCGCTTGTTAAAGATTCATTTTTCAAACTTAGCCACTAAAACTTGAAGAAGATAAGATGTCCCCTAGATACAAGTTTTTTGGTAAGTCAAGGTTTTCTAGTAGAGATTCTTGATAGTGAGTGTTTTATGCACAAACATATTGGTTGAAAGACGTATTTAATTGTAACAATCAATATTCCTGATTAAGATTATATGGTATTTTAATTTTTCATTCGTGTAGTTTAGCCTCTTTTATTGTTTAAATGCCTTGTTGTGGTTATGTCAAGGCCTATCGAGTCGGGCAAAGTGTCGTCCGGGTGCTCATCCTGTTTCTACCACCTCAGTTTTGTTGGTAGGGTTAATTGTTTGATTTCGTGGAGACTATATAGATATTTGAAAGTCTGTTGCTATCCGTAGCACTTTTTGCTGAGCAGGTCATCTTATGTGGCGTGTTGACCCAGTTTCTTCCTGCAGTTTTGGCCTTTTTGTCTGTTTATTTAGCTTTTAAACATTTTGATATATTTGTTAACGAATTTAATTATTAGGGTCAACATCTGAGGCTTTCTAATGAGGATTTTGTTTGGTTACTATGGGCGTCCTTTTCAATATTTACCGTTAAGTTTTTTTGTCAAGCACACATTTTCTCGTAGTCTCACATCCCCGTTACCTTTCTATTCTGTAAAAATTAATATTTACGTGGTCTTATGTACGCCATCTGTGTGTTGTATTCGTTAGATGAAATTTGGTATATAAAGCCCTAAGATAAAAATAATTTAAGTGCCTATCATGTAATATATGTAGTCTTTACTTTTTACAATTTTACCCTTACATTACCTTGCAGCTAAGGAATATTTACGAAGATTCCGCGGATACTTAAATTATTCAGGCGCCACAAAATGGCGTCCGACGAGGAAATGCTCGACATTAGCTTTCCCCGACATTATATGTCACTTTCAAGTGTGGCAAATACGTATGCAGGTAAATTTGACTGTAAATATATGCTTTTTGTATACTTTGGCATTGAAATGTGGTGTCGGCTTGATATATACTTTTACACACTTGCAAAACATGTTTGGTCGTATCGCTTTTGAATCGTGGGGCTAATTGCTTATTTCGCCTAAAATAGTGCCGCAATTGGTTTGGTTTTCTTCAATTTTACTGTCTAATTAAGTGCTGAAGGCTGGATGATGCGACTAAATTTAATTTCTTTTCTACGTGGATGGATGCATGTCTCCTCTCGAACCTCGTGTTTAATACGTTTGTTGCCCTTTTATTTCGTCTCCGTGCGCTATGAAGCCTTGGACCATGGATACGATACCAACCCACCACCTCGAGGTCTATTTTTCTATTGCCCTCCCGTCAAGGCAAAATATAACGTTAATGGTGAAAAAGGTGGCTTTTATGTCGGCCGACGTATTAATGTGGACATATGTATGCCTGTGGAGTTGTTACTGGAAGCTGCAGTGCATTTGTATTCCCCAATACGTAGATATACACTGTTTCACTCATAGGTTTATCTCACGGTGGTGTGGTAGACATGGATTCTATTCTGAGTAAATTTCTTAAACAACCGAATCAATGTATTCTAGGTATAACTTGTCGATTAGAGTTATTCCCGCCTCTCGTTTGAATACTTAATTATTTCGACTAACTTACCATTTTTTCTGAAAGACGATTCAGATGAGAATTCGCTAGGGATTTGTCCCCCAACCAATCCTCGCAATTACGTGAGATTAAGCACGCTTGGTAGGTAATGCTTTCCTCCAGCTCTTATGCCTTCCTTTCCCACTTCTAATGTGTCCGTTCTTGTGTCATTATTTTCACTTGCACATTGTTCTAATTAACATCCTTGTTTTAATGCTCTCTAACCTTTACATATATGTAAATATATTAAAGGTTCTTTGGTTGATCTTGACAGATCCCGCCGAGACTCGTCTTGAGCAAACTCAATCGGACTCATCTGCATTGGGGGGAGAACGGAGGACGCCAAGGTCATATGACGAGTATGACACAATCGATTGGGTCAAGGACCTCAATGCTGATAGCATTAGGAAAATCCGGATGGAGCAAAGGGCCAAGGTTAGTGTCAATATAATTTCCTCGTTGTGCTTTCTGATATGGCATGCCACTTTGTATTAATTTTTAAGGGACGCAACTGTTTCCTGTTACTTAATTTATGCTCTAGTATTAAGGCTATGAACTTGTTCACCTTTGGACGCACAGTATATTGCGATTTGTCACAGCTTTGGATTTATGAGGTAGAACAGGCCTCATTATGGTTTACTCCTACTTTAGTTTTCCCTACTTGGCCGTTTTCTGCTGCTTTGGGACTCGAGTTCAGGATGGATCTGTGTCGGACTAATTGGCGCCCTGGTGGGTTTTTTTGCCGTGATGATCGATATTGGAGTGAGCTGGCTTTCCAATCTTAAAGAAGGTGTGTGTGGCGAGCAGTTATGGTTCAGCCGAGAGCAGTGCTGTTGGTCTTACAACATGACTGTCTTTTCTCCACTCTTTGGGAACGTAAATAGTTCGTCGTCGTCCTCACTACCCTCGCCTGAATTCAATCAGTCTTCAACGCAGCTCGTTTATCCCCACGAATTTGGCAGTGGAGCGCAGTCAGCCTATGGATACTACTCCTGTGACCAGGTTAGAACTATTTTTCAACTTTGAGAAAAAATTCTTTCATTTTAGCTTTCTCCAATGTATGATTTGCTAAAGCATACTTATTATTAATGTCTTTTATGTCGCCATTCAAAAGGCTTGTGGCGGACATTCTAGGGAAACGAACAATATTTCGAACCTCTAGTCTGGTCACTCCAGGGTTAGGTCGAACTCTTGTAGTGGTCAGGTCTTGCAGATAAACAAGCGCGCACTTTGAGTGCCATTCAATGGCTGTAGTGCAGACCCAGTTACGCCACACTGAAACAGTTTTTCTAACAGACTTCTGCTTGCAGCCACTGGGCACATTCAAATACCGCAAGTGCATAATAAGGTCTGCATAACTAAAAGGAACTTTACAAATTGGGCATGATTGTGAAATGGTGTTTGAAGAGACTGTAGACAAATAAATTGGTGGCGCGTAGGAAATAGCCACCCGTGAGTGCACTCTTGCTTCGGTTCTCATTCACCTACAGACATCAGAATTGGACCATCAGCAATATTTTTATACTGTAGGTCTGTGCTCTGCTTGATAAACTTGAGCTCTCCGTTGAAGTACCATTTGCGGAACTTGAAAGACATGGATATGCCTTCGCGTCAGACCGTTTTTCTTGTTATAACTTGTTACGCTTAAACGAGGTGTTGACATTCATTTATGTTTACCAAGTCGCAAACCTCTTTAAATAACCTTTTCGCTTTGTCGGATTTGTTAATTGACTTATGCTTAGGTTAATATTCTCTTAACGCCGTGTCCCCAGTTCCGCGATCGCTGGTGAATGAGACGAAATGTTAAATATAATGTCCCAAAAACCCAACATCGAGTAATTATAGTTTCCTAAAAAGTTTTTTTTTCAGTTGAATTTTGTCTAAATTGTATTTGGGAGATGCATTTTCCAGATCAATAACCTCATGCGTTTTAACGTTCACTGCAACGTACTGGGTTGTTTTTTTGCAGCAAGGATTGGTGCAATTTTTACGGCTGGAGCCCAGGGAAATCCCACACTTATTTATGTGCACAAGTTGGCACTAACAATTAACTCGGGTTTCCTATCTTGCTTGACACAAAGGTTCTTCAAGTTGTTTTATTTTTACCACCCACTTCATTGCCTTGAAATTATTTGAGGGTGGTTCTAGGGTATATAATCCTTGCCTTGTTGCAGTCGTATATCCTATATTTTTCCCATTCTCAACTGTCGTCTGTTCTTCCATTGTATTGCTAACATTCTTATTTGTGAACCAAGGGTCTGCTTAGGCATTCTAGACTATACTCCCAAGGACTTTTGATCTTTACCCATTAGACGGTATTAAATGAATTGTGCATTCACCTTTTCGTCATGTCAGTATTCCTTGGGTCGCTGATTCCGTTAGTTTTTATTAGGCGTCGGAAGGCCAGTACACGCCTCCAATGAGCTTTCAAACCTCAAAATACTGCTATACACAAAGCATTCTAGTTCAGCACGCCGTTATTGTTAGAGTTCCTCTGACGTACTAATCCTTCGAAGGCGTTCGAGGCACTTTTCGGTACATTGCATAGCTAAACAGCTAGATTCCCATTCTTAATCTTGTTTTGTACAGGGTTACTTTAAATGTTAAAGGGCCATTCTCGCTGTAGTCGTATAAACTTTATTGAATTTCTTGGCTTCCCAATGCATTTATACATTTTCTTTGAACTTAGATTTATCTGTGGTCAAGAGATCTGTGACCTGATAGTTCATGGCTTGATTGTGGCCCGAATTCCTTTTCTGATATGCAATTTAATGGTAAATTGATATCGATAGTTTCCTTTAAACCTATTTTCTATGCCATCATTTCATAGACATAGGTCTTTCTTGCCTTTTTTCTGCTTTATTTGGGATCCCGTGTGTTCCTGAAATCTCGAGGTGATGATTGTGTTTAGTAAGTGTTAGTGGGGACTGCGTTATTGCGTTAGGGGACCTTCTACTTTTGCTTCGTCATTCTGCCTTTCAGTGGTACTCGTGGGAGCGTCTTTTGACGGGCCACGATGGTGATATCAAGCACATAGGCGCGTTTATTATCGGCTGGATTATCTATGTTCTCCTTGCCGTGGGGATGGTGGGTCTCTGTGCGGCTCTTGTCTACTTCCTGGCTCCTTCAGCAGCCGGTGAGTCCGTTTTGGTGTGGCTTCTTGAATATAAAGACTTGACTGCATCATAAATCATAGCACCGGGCCCACAAATTTTTACTTGGGAACGATGATTCTTAATTCCATTTTAAGCACTTAACTTACATTATCAAAACCGCAATTTTGCCGGTAATTCTTTGATAATTTCGTGAACAAATCGTTCAATCAAGTCAGAATACTTAACGTTGATGCATTGAACTTTTTATCGTTAGGATTTTTAAAATCTCTGATGCAAGCAACTTGGCATTTACATCTTGATTCTGAAGTCACATGGTGGCACGCGCTTTTTGAGCATTAGCTCCCACCATGTCGGAATGACAGTGCTGCTACACACTCCGAAATCTTTTGTTCACATTTTTTTTTCCGACTGACAACCTGTGCGTGACATCCAGCCCATTTTCAGCCATAACTCTACGCCTCACCATTTTAAACACTACTGTGTGAGTCACAGTACACGGGTCTATTCGATTTACCCTTCTTGACCGAGATTTGAGCCCCAGCCATAGCCACAATATCTGTGGGCTTCAAAATTGCCGCGTTTGTTTTCTGTCCGAATTTCGATTGTGTGTCCACACGTTAATAGCCTTAGCTGTGAACGTTTGCTTCGGATGCGTTGTCTCGTCCACAGCTGCAATTTGCTGTAAAATCAGGTTTGGCCTATCGTTTTTACCAGCACATTGTCACCGCACAAGCAAGACGGTTCAAACTTTAGAAAATTTTCATGTCGCGGAACCAGCCTACTCATGTTTTTTTCTATTTTAGGCAGCGGCATTGCAGAGGTGAAAACAATCTTAGGTGGTTTTGTGATTCGCAACTTCCTCGGCCCCTGGACTCTCATCGTGAAAGTGGCTGGCCTCATATTGTCAGTCTCCACTGGTCTTTGCATCGGCAACGATGGGCCCATGGTTCATGTCGGAGCCTGCTGTGCTAAAATTCTTGCTCGCTTTTTCCCAAAGTACGGTCTGAACCCTTCAAAAACCAGAGAGGTAGATCTAGTTCCCCATTTCCTCAGTCTTGCTTTTAGTATACTTGGAGTGTAGGCTGCATAAGTGTCTTTGTTATTGTTATCTTTTGAGTAGTTCTGTCGATGGGGAGTCTGTAGGCTATCTGAACACCACAACCCTTTCGCTGGGTAATAGCATGGGTAGTCATAACAGGTAAATTGTCTACTTGAAACTACAGATGCGAATCAGGAATCGCTTTTCTGCTATCGGCAGGAGGTCATAAGATGCTTGTCGCAAAACGCCTTTTGGCAACGCTGCCACTAAATACTAATTTAATGGGTCAATTGCGTTCGTTGACCCGAGTTTGGACACTCAGAATTGTAGGTCACGTAAACGCGTGAGACTTCAATAGCGGGCTGGCAAGTGAACTTGCTCACCTAATGACCATGCACACAATCTGCTGGTTTGGCGAAAAAATGCCGGAGCTGCGCACCTTCCCAGCTTGAGAACTCCCATTGTGACCCAAATACATCGGTGTCCTCACCCCCATTTGCGCAGTCAGTCGGTTTCATACAGCTGCTTTGTTTGTTGAATATGGCAGTCATGTTATGGTGCGCATACCCGCCCTCGAACGAGGCTGAATTGCCCACCTCCGTCCTGTTGCTAGTGAACGTATTCCACGAGGTAGTGTCGTCCTTGTGACATTGTAAGTGAACTGGGCTGGTAGGTTGAAGAGAGCAAAGCATAAAGCAGTTGGATCAGTATGGAACGGAATAAGTCGTACTGCCTGATCAGCTGTTCACTATTGGCAATATGATTTCGTACCTACACGCCTCGTGTGATTGTCTATTTATGCGTTGTTAGCTTTAATTACGATTCGCCCAAGGAATGTAACGCATTTACCATAGCAGCCGGTTCGCCCAGTATGTTGATGCAAATCCCTGAGCCAATAGTTGGAACCCTTTGTTGGCACGTTGAAGGTTTCCCAGAACAGGAGAAGACCATGGCTTGTCGACGGGCTTTACTTTATAAACCAAGGGATCGAGTACAGCATCGAATCAAAGCGGAAGTCGAGGCGGAAGTTATCTGGATGCTTAGATGTGCTCACTTATATATTCCAGGGCGACCTGAGATCGACGAATTGAGTAAATATCACTGAGTTATGAGTTGTCGGTGTGAACAAAGATGTGGTGTGACAGCAGAGTTGTAATTAGGTGAAGAGAGCTGAATTAATCGATGTCACAAGTCAATTTTTTTAATTTACTTGTTTTGGGAAATGTTGATATCCCAACAGTACCTGATCTGATCAGTTATGGCTATTCCTTCGAGTCATGGGGAGTAAACCAGGTGTACTACAGCCCTTAAGCTTTGCATCTTTATTCCTCGCTGATGGGTTAGCAAACAAAATCCCCTTCCTTTTAGCTCATCTCCGCGGGCGTAGCAGGTGGAATCGGTGCGTGCTTCGGCGCGCCTATTGGAGGGGTTCTCTTTTCTCTTGAAGTGGCAAGCTACTACTTTCCCGCTAAGACTCTTTTTCGCTCTTTCTTCTGTGCGCTGGCCGCTGCCTACGTTGCTCGGGCGCTGAACCCTTTCGGTGATGAGCATCTTATCCTACTTTCTGTTGACCACGACACAAATTGGCATTTCATTGAATTAATACCCTTCGCTGCCCTCGGGGTCTTTGGTGTAAGCACTTTTTAAGCTGTGTGTGCCAACTCATTTGTGTTTGGTAAAGAGCCTTAAGATAGCCAATGAATCCAATCCGAAATGTCGCGTGGAATGGCAAACGTGACTGGCTTTGGAGTAAACAATAACACATTAACCCAAGTGTCTGTTCAACAATTTCCTTTTTTAACTATTTCGTGAGGTCTATTAGCAGTGGATTTCTGCCAATTGCAATTACGATATTGTCTGTAGACGGTGATCCCTCATTTGATTTTCGCTGGGGGATCCAAAATGCAGTGTTATAAATTAGCACTCACCTGAACTGAATTTTATAGTGGGCAGTGCCTAAGCAAGGAGCGAATGAGTCAAATCCACAGGCATTTAAATTTTGGTTTTCATTCTTGAATGTTGGTCAATTGAGGAATAGTTTAATTTTGAAGCAAGTCTCTGGTTGAGGGACAGGCATCGAGGTCCATCAAGATTAAGATCCTCCGTTTCCGTCCCACCACAGCGACATGTGAATTTTGTTATATCTCAGTCTTTAAGAAAAGGGTGCTGTAATTTCCTTCGTACCTACGCCTAATTAATCAATAACTTCCGTCAATTCACAGTCGCTATCCGATGTTCTTTCTTGTTCATTACTTAACCTAAATTTACAAGTCGTAGTGAATGGTGCACACGGTCATTTATATGCGCGGTAAAGCGGGGCTAGAGTTAACCTCTTAAACATATCCATGTGAAAATAATTATGTGCAATTTTATTGCAGAAAATCTCTCCTGTCATGTTTTTTAGGCGCATTAAATGTTCCATTTTACGACACTGTTGATTTGCACGTAGAGAGGTAGCCAAGTCAGATTTGAAAAAAAAGAGGACTGTTCACAAGAACAACGAGTACACACCATTGCAGCAAGGTGTAATATCTGTTTAACAACAACAACTTACATGTACTACTCACTACTAAAACAATTGTCAATGGCACTTGAACCTTGCAGTTTCCTGCATACGTTTTGGCCTGTATTGTTCAAAAATGCATACCATGATCCCATATCTTGTTTGCTGTTTTCTGCCATGTGTCATTTTAAGTCTTTTGTGGCTTACGGGGTATGAACACATTTTCACTGGATATACTTTCTCATTGTAAAGCTGTTGAACTCATAACAGTCCCAGCTCTATTTCCTGTGGACCCTTTCTGAACACTTTGTCGTCATATCCTCTGTGCTAATTTATTGAATGCTATTAAGAGTGAGAATAGACTGTGTGTGTAGTCTTTGTATAAAATGATTGCCTATTGTTATTGCTTTTTAAATGTTAATCTATTAGCTTGGGCATCATTGTGTTCTCACTAGCACATTTGAAAATCCAACTTTTGCAAGTCATTGAACTAATAAAGCCACTCAGTTGCATGAATTCCTACTTTCTTCCAACTGTTGTGCAGACTTATTCACTTGTTGTCTTAAGTTGTACCCTTGGTTCCTTCAGAATTACTGAATGGATTAATATTTTGGCAGCAAAATGAAAAAAATTCTCTAGGAGTATATCATATACGTGCAGACCGCTTCTCAAGGCCTTAACTCCTGCTTTTAAGCGGGCTGTACTTTGTGAATTAAATGGCCTTCTAGTAGGTAGTAGTACCAGGATTTGTAGAGTCGCTTGTGTGATTCCCATTCAGGGCATGTTCGGTGCTCTCGTGGTGCGTTGCAACAGGGCTGTTCAAACTTTCCGTCGGGAGCGTTGCGCCAATCGACCGATCACGTACCTGCTGATCCTTACCGCGATCTCCTCTCTCATCGCCTACCTGCACCCTGATCTCCGAGCTGAAGAGAAGTTATTCATTCGCAAGCTCGTGGGCAGCTGCTCTGCTGGCGACCAAGAAGACCTGTGGTACGTTCGAACCTTGACTGCGAACAATCAGACTAACCTGCAGGAAATGTGCACATTTGGCAAATGGAATCTTTATCCATGACCCACTTTAGCAGTATTTGATGTAGCAACCCGTAGTTGATGCAGTTTGCCATTAGTTCATTCGGATGTATAAATTTTGAACAGTGTGAAATTAGCTGATTTTCTTAATGTTGATACTTTTTATAGTTTTATGTTTTAAAATAGTCCAAAGGAAAATTAGTGGTTTCCTCCCCTATTTGTTGGATATGTTCACATACCTTTACTTCTTTTACTTGGGTAACCTGAAGTTTCACCCTGAACCAGGTGCTAGAAAATCAAGTTAGGCGTTTATCATACATGCTGATCGCGAAAATAAACACATTGCGTATAAGGGCTGCATGTTTTTGTGCCTTACCAGTGACTACATTCGTGTACCGGCCGAGGGCGTCGTAAATGCGACGATAATCAGCGAGACGCCTCTCGTGGGGAGTTTTCCTGCTGGACCACGTATGGCGCGGGGGGTAGCTCTCCTTTTCGTCGCACTGTTCTTCAAATTTGTCGGACTTGTTCTCGTCTATGGTGTTCCCGTCCCCACCGGTGTCATGCTTCCCAGCATCATGGTAAGCTAACAAGTGTCTGCCTTCCTGTGCTGCCTCTGTCCTGGTGTGTGTTGTCGCGATTTCAGGTGTAAAGCCTTGAGCAAACACCACGCGTTACTGTACAATCAGGTTTTTATGCAAGAGTGACTTCCTTCCTGGTTTACTGTGGCTGTGTCTCCAATTTGATCATACTTTCTGGTTGAGCCCTGTAGTGCCATGCTTTTTCTCGTTTCGTCGATGATGGTTCGCGATCCTGTCTTAGGGGTCAAGTGGACTGTGCCACTCCGAACCACAGGAAGTCAATGTGGGCCACTGGTAAGAAGTTGGTCACCACGTTCTTTCGCTTTTTGTCTTTTCGTCATCTGTTGGCGCTTTCCTATTGCACTTTACGTTGTTTTTTGCCTATTTCATCGTCTTTCTAAGTCTGCTTTTTTATACTGCTCCGTCTAATCCCTAGCGTTCCCCCACGCGCTGAGTTTACTCTCCGTAGGGGCTACATTCTCCATCCAGCGTGAAAAGTAAGCACTCCATACATAAAACCTGATCGAATTTTATCCTTATCGGAACTGCTAACCACAAAATTTCCTCGTGCATTCGATAACATTAATTTTATTTTTGGGAGTTCCTGTGGATTTAACTACGATGCTTCTCAATTAGTTACTCGTTCACCACCAACTCTTCATCGCCATTTGGGTGCTATTTCCTGTAAAACTCACTTGCGTGTTTTGCGCCAAATGAAACTGCGATGTGGTGTTCGTGACAACGATCTTCTTTAGTGCTACAAGCCTTCGTATTTCTCGTAGCCATGGTGATGCCTCTCAGTACCTAAATATTTTCACGCATCGCCAAATGAGGATTTCTTCCAATTGTGTCATTAAAATTGACGGTCCAGTACAAGAATCTTCATTGCCTCAAAACACCTAGAAGTATTTTCAGTTTTTTTAAGACGTTGCACCCTCTCCTCTTCTCGACAGTATAATAATCGCCTTTTGAAATATGCCTAGAATTTAGTAATACCAATTTCAAAGAAAGTTAACTGGTGAGTTTAAAATGAAAGATTACACATGTCTGTTCTATCATGAAGGTAAAAGTAAGAAATTGAGTTTGTGGACAAATGACATTTGTTTCATTATCCATGAATTCGTCTTTGCCTCTTATATTCCTTCGCTTTACTGCTTTTCGAATGAAGTCGTCAGCCAGTGTAAAACCCGGACAGCACTCCCGCCTCAAGGCAAGTTTTGCGCTTTTGAATTGCAGGTCGGTGCTATCCTCGGCCGTCTAATGGGCATAATGGTGGAGCAGTTTGTTGTGACCCAACTGCACGGTTCAGAGTTCTACCAAAACCTCTGCAAGCCCGGCCGCCCCTGCATCGACACGGGCCTCTACGCTGTGGTGGGCGCCGCGGCTTGTCTCGGCGGGGTCACTCGCGCCACCGTCTCTCTCGTCGTCATTATGATCGAACTCATTGGAGGGTAGGTCGTTTTGTGACCTCTCTATCTCCAACACCAGGCTCGTTCAAGCGCATGGCTTGAGTTCACGGCACGTCTGTCTTCACTTGCTCCTTGTAGAAGTCGCAAGTCACTCCTAACCGCGGCATCAAGGGCCAGCGTGCTTTTGTTATGACGTGGCTCAGTATGAAGGACCCAAGGGAGAAATAAGTCTAAAACAACGGGTTCTCAATCACTTATTGCATGAGTAAGAGGCTATTACTTTAGCTAGTCATTCGACCCTCGAACGAACGTGCAATGTGTTCAAGATGACGGATTGAATTTACGTTCGCCCATGCTTGGCAAGAATATTCACGCGATGATCGCTACACCCCCCTTTGCACTTTCACTCTTCGCTCCTTGGTTCACTTGCTGAAAGGGTAGGCTCACTAGTGCATTCTACCCGGCTTTTCAACTTGCCCTTGTTTGTTCTCCCCCAATTGACAAACTTGGCTAGGGCTCCATGGGTTCGCTTGTTTTTTTTTCGGCTTCTGTCTATTGCATCGTTAACATCGAAGTTTATCGTTGCTTCCTGTTACTAAAACCGGCTAGCTCCGAAGTTAATTACACCAATGTTGGGGTACCATTATTCAGTTCAGGCAGTTCATGAGTTTAGCGGATGACTTGATTTTTCAATCGACACCCAGTCGTGCTTCTTCACAATGCGGTAACTTAGCGCCACTTTCGATAATGCATGTGTAATCGGGTCGCCTTAATATGGATATTATGGTGTTCTGACTGCAAACGGAAAAGGGCTGTTCCGATTGTCTAGCTCAAGCCCCATCCCTCTGTATCGAAGAAATGACCTCGTGGTGAGTCCTTTTTACGGTCTCAACCATGAGCCAAAAGCCGTGACAGAATACGCCTCTTGAGCGGCCTTGGTCCGATGAATTGTGTTATCACTGAGTAAAAGGTTGTCAGTGTGAGCAGAGGTTCGGGATGATGTTTGAGTTGTGTTTTGTCTCCAAGATGTTGCAAATAGGGTATTTGTGTCGACGAAATGTCATCAATTTTAATGTGGAGAAGTTGTCCCGGGCAATGCTGGCTTACCCAAAATGACGTAGATTAGTACGGGTTCGATTAATGGTTTATTTACATCTCTCAAATAAGTGGACTTTTCGTCGTTAGCGAATCGTTAAGGTAGACATTTTATTCCTTAAAAGGCAGAGTGTTTAACTTTACTGAGTATCGCATGTCCGCCTCCCGTGTTGGGGCTGCTAAATTGAACCTGTTGGATTGCCATCGTGACAAAACCTTGGCATTCGCCGGATATTCGTCACTCATCTGCACCCAAGAGAATAAAAACGGTTATCCCAAAGTACTGGTCGTAAAAACCTCCTTAATTGGGTTTTAAAATGGGGTTATTTTAGAAATTTTCCTGTTCTCACAGCTTTTGGTTTTATTAGTCTATAAAGCGGTTTCTGAATGAAGTACCGTGACAAAGGAATTTTAAACGTGTTTTCGTCAAATGCCCACGAGAGTCGACTAACAGAACTTAAGTTTACTCAGCCAATAGTTATGTATGTGAGCCCCAAAGACGACAATATTCTACTTTCGTTTTAAACCGCGGCTAAAGACGTGGTAGTTTGGCCATACAATGTGACACTTTTGCTTTACTTGAAACCAAATTGTTACTTATTTACGAAGTCGCCACGCACAAATTCACTGTTTGTTTGTAATGCGCACGTTTGTGTGTGTTTTTACGTCTGACGTACCTGCCTTTCGCTATTCCCGGTTGTTGGTTACGTTAATTGACGTTGCTTGTCCGAATACTTTGATTTAGGCGATATCATGTCCATATGTCACCCTTATAATTCACAATTGTGGTATTTTATTCACACCAACTTACCTTCGTCGATGAAGCATGGGACCTATATGTCACCTGGACACGCAAGTACTGCGTGATGTTTCTCTTGCATTTCGATCCTCTTGAGGGTTGCCTTAAAAGCGACAGTTCTACTTTGCACTCCCACTCAAATTTGTGCAAGCAGTCGATTGGGAACTATCAGTGCGCGTGCGCACACCCAATCCCAAATTTCCGTGAAATTTCATCGTATTTTCTGTTTGCCCACGCGACTGAAACAGGTTTCATTTGTATTCCCAGCCTGAGCTACAGTATTCCCATAATGGTGGCAAGCATGTTTGCCAAATGGACCGGCGATCGCATGTACAAAGGCAGCATCTACGATGTGCAGATCCGTCTGAATCACTACCCTTACCTCCAGTTCGACAAGTTGTCGACTAAAATGGGGGACTCCTTTGCAGCCGACATTATGCATCCAAGGTACGATTTCCCGTTTCGTTTGTTGTTCACCTCTCCACCTTTGCTGTGTATTTGCACAGCTAGAAAAACGTGCACTAAACTCCTAAACACACAATTTTCGACTTACACGCCGTCTCATTCTATTATTTCCTGTTTGTTCGTGCATCCCTTTCGGTGGGAAATGTCCAAAACTAGTGCCTTTCGCTGTCTATCCAATTACACGATGACGGCACTCACAATGTGTTCCTCTGCCTGTAATACCAGACCACTGACCAGAAAGGATGTTTGGTTTATCTATTCACGGGTCAGACGTGGTTTTAATTTTGATAAAACCTAACTAATAGTTGGCCCAATCGTGAAACCAAACAGAAGCTGACGTGCGCACAATCCATCTGGATAAAGTGTGTCTATGTTTCGTTGTACTGATTAACCCACTTGATTATCGCCTTTAGAATCAGCGAGGGTCCCCTTGAACTTTTAACGGAGAATTCGATGACAGTGGGAGAGATTGAGGAACTCCTGCGTTCCTCTGAACACAACGGATTCCCGGTGGTAGAGTCTCTCGCCTCTCGACACCTCGTCGGATTTGTGTCGCGGACGGATTTGGTCAAATCACTGGGTACATCCTTGCCTTCTTTCTGTATTTATAAATATGACTTTGTGCCTTGACTGGTGGGTCGCTTTTGCTTGTGAAGAAAGTATTGACCCCAACAAATTCCTACCCCCCCCCCCTCTTTGTTAAGGAGCAGGCCGTTTGGAACACTAACTTAGTACTTAGGACATAATGAAGGCTATTTTTTTATGTCAGGGTACCCGTTATGGAATTGGATTATAAGCAGGCAAAATGATTGATAAGTCGTGCTTTTGAGAAATTGATATGCATGTTTCTGCTATATCTCGCCACATTTAGCATAGTTGGATTCAAATCAAATGAACCCTGATATGGCTAAATATGAATTTCATTAAAACGGCACATTTTTACGGTGTTGCTGACTGTTTTCTGTCATTCGACTCCACACCTTTTCGAAAGGCTGCTGAGGTTGCTGTTTGCATGTTTTCAGTTTCAATGGCTCACGTGCGCCTCATGCTGACGCCTCATGCTGACGTAACTCGTTGACCGGCACTGTGCACTAGGGTCTTGAAATATCCTTTGGCTTGCATTTGTTGCATCTAAAGACTTAATTGTTAAGTACATGCGCTCCATTAAAAGTCTGTGTAGGAGTGACTTGCGCGCCAGACGCGGTAATCGTCTCTCAACACGGTTGCTTATGTGACTTTCTTGTTTTGCAGAAAAGACCACGAAAGACTTTGAGTTTGTGTGGGCTAACGTGACCACGCTCGGGTTTTAAGTTTGGTCAATCCGCAAAATTTGATGGGAGGATTTATTTAAATGTTTGTCGCCTTTGAATTGATAGTTTTCACTCACTTATATCCATACATTAAGGGTTCGTCATTTTCGGGAATTTAGCTCAATTTGCAAGTCCCCTAACTCGCCTTTGCTAGCGAGGATGTAGTAACATCACTAAATGCATATTGTTTTGCACCCAAAAAATGGTTTAGGTAGTGCACTAGCTTAGTCCTAGCGAAATTTGACTGATTTCAAAGATGTCACCTTGAGCAGTGTCCATTGTCGATTATCACAGGCCTTAACCGACCGCAATCTTCGCGAACTTATGCTCCGCACTCTGTCGTCTGCTTTACCGACCGAACTCCCTTGGTGGACCACAGCAGCCGCGTGTCCTTCTCTCCCCCTGCACATGGGGAGGAAGGCAACCGGGTAAACGTCGCTGGAACCAGCCCCCTTCTTGTCGACGTTCGGAACATTGTCGATTTGGTGCGTTGCGTCCCTGTTACTTAGGGCAGAAGTCGGTGGCATGTTTTGCCAAACACTAAGACGCAATAACGTGCTTCTTACGAGACTTGTGGTCACCATTACATTAAATTAACGAAAACCTGGCTGTGTATCAGTCGTACGATGTTTTGTGGTGTCACCGTAGCCTGCTTTCGAAAACGTGAGCTGCTTTGGATTCTAGGACCGTCTATTGGCTTTGCTTTTCGCAGATCGTTGTCGACCATTAAGCTAAAGAAGCACTTGTGAGATTACTAGGCTTGTTATATCTGCTCCCAGAAAGATCCTCAGTTGCCTAATTAGCTTAATTTTCTGGTTGTGTTCGATCAATCAGCAGTCAGGCGAATGTCAGTGTCGTCTACTTTTGGGTAGAGCGGTAGTCTTTTTTCACTGGGGATGTTTGAGGGGACATTTAGAACACTGCCACAATACACCACACTTTGCCAAGTCAAGTGGGCACACGAGTGGTGGACGGACACTTTTCCCATTATTTGCCTGCATTCCTTGGAGAATAATTGTGCATGGCAAAGGCTCAGAGTTCCTGACGTGTCCCAATTTCTTTTGTGGAGTCAATGCGTGTAATAATCCGGCGCAGTACAGGATTATCCAGAATCAAATGGCACCATCTTACACACTTTGTGTTTCCGATTCTAGTCTCCGACAACTTTGACACAAACAACGCCCGCCTCGACCATTTTCGACGTGTTCAGAAGTCTCGGTCTTCGTCAAGTTTTGGTGACTCATCATGGGTGAGGCATCGTTATCCTCGTCTTATGGACAGAAGTTTCAACTTTTGTTTAAAGGCCATTGCAAGACACTTAATTACCCATGTTTATGAACTATAATGCTAGAACACGATTGTGATACGACTAAAAGCGCGGTTAAATTTCAATATTTTATTCGAGGCTCTTCAGTTAAGCCTGCCTCTACTCCCCAAAGTTGAATCAACTTTACCTGATCCACTTTGTCCCCACTAGGCGCGTCACAGGCATCATAACTAAGAAGGATGTTCTGCGGTTTCTGGACGAATGTTGACTCTTCACTGGCCAACTACGATTTACCGCTCCCCTGTTCTGCAGAATTTCTGTGATAATTCGACGCTCTTCATGTCCGCCTCCTATTCATTGTCTCCGGCGCCGGATCTGTGCTCTTACCAAGTGGACTAGCATCATGTTGCACCCCTGAACCCGACCACTTTTGCCTAACGATTTTGATTTCCCCACTTGTAAGATTGTCCCATAACATTTACTGGCGTACGTGAATATAGTAAAAGGTCGTCTGAGGCCGCAACCGAGACGAACTACTGCAACCTGTTAGTATGTACCAAATAAAACACAAAAAAACCTGATATGCATTCACTACGTGCGCTGTCCGTTATGCATTCAAACAGTATATGACCGCACATTTGTCCTAGGCAAAGTCGCCAAAAATGGTGACCATTACGATGATGCGGAGATGCATGCTAAGCATCTGTTCAAAAATAGGGAAAGAACAGGTAAAAGTACGCACAAGTGCCGTGCTGCCGTCGTGATCCCATCCGACGAAACGTACAAACGTTCAAAAAGGTCCCCGAGTTTGCGTGGTTGTAGTGAACCATGTCTGGCTCACGCCGTCATTGGTAAATCAAATCATCCCAGCCAGCGGTTTCGGCGTGTATGACCAAAGACAATTCTAATCATAGATAACGGCGCAAATATATACAAGCATTCTAGGTTAGGACGGTAACGGTTCGGCATTATCCGTTGGACAGATTCCCACTCCAAGCGCTGCAAACAGCGGAACACCTAACATCGGGCAAAGCTCCGGGCCGACTTGACCCCTAACAAACGTCCGATACAGACAACCAATCCAAGTTTTACTTTGACCACTGCCACATATTTGGCTCGTAATATCTCCAAGCCACAGGACTACAATATCGTCCGATTTAGGAGACAATATATGGAACAGGCTTAACATCGTTCACCATGTTTCAAGTAATATTGCAGCTAATTGCGAAATATGCTCGGCTGATTGTGTAAAAAGAACACGAGTCACATATCCAAAACGTTTATTGCCCAGGCCATTAAGCTCAGTTAAAATGGCACTAGACGCGGAATAAAAGGGGAGTTGAAAAACATCTAGGAGCAATCGGGATACATATTTGAGGGTCTAAAAAGGTTCATACGGAGTATTTAATCGAACTTTCAGTATTCCTGGGATTGAGTCTTCTTTTCTGGAACAGTTCCAGTCTTCTTTCGTAACAAAGCGTTATGTATATTGGGGAGGACACCTCCCTGGGCGATTGTTACGCTGCCGAGAAGTTCATTGAGTTCCTCGTCATTGCGTATAGCCAGCTGAAGATGCCGCGGGATTATCCGCGTCTTCTTGTTATCTCGGGCTGCGTTGCCGGCAAGCTCCAGGACCTCAGCGGTCAAGTACTCCATAACGGCAGCCAAATAAACCGGTGCTCCTGAACCGATGCGTTCTGCATAATTGCCCTTGCGCAAGAGCCTATGCACGCGACCTACTGGAAACTGTAAACCGGCCCTCGCAGAGCGATTTTTATGGGCTTTTGGCCGAATCTTCGAACCCTTTCCGCGAGCAGACATTTCCGACGGCGGCCAAATCCAAATACGAATTGACCACAACAAACGTTTGCTCCTTCTTCTGGATCATTAAAACAAATAGCCTTGGTCACATTTTTTAAACAAGCACACAGTGAATCTACAAGTATTAGCCTATATAAAAAATAAATTGTTAACAATGTTCTTATACATTTATTTTAAATGATCTAAATACTTAACAGGACCATGAAGTGGGAAATGCTATTACAAATCTTAATCGGAAATCGTAAGGTACAAGCTCAACGATTATAACAGTGGCAAAAAGTGTTCAGTTGTTGGAAGGGTTAGTTAGCGGAAATTAAGTATAGAACGGCGAATCTGCACCAAAGGTTAATTTCGTAGTGTTGCGGTTAGCAATCAAAAGAGGTGTTTTTTTTGTCAGGTTAGCTCGTTGTAATGCGCTAGTAGGTACACTGTCTTCTTCCCATTAAATCCAATTGCAATCACCCACACTAACGCCTGTGTACTATAAAATGCTGTGTATAGGGAGATTGTCTTGACATCGAATGAAGTGGTCAAGTCAATTCAATTGAAACAGAATTCAATTGCATTATGTTAGCAAAGTCACTGATCATTGACAAAATTCATGTGACTTCTTTATCTTCGCCTATTTGAATTTTTTTTAACATTGCTTTACCTTGATGAGGATGTTATATAACGTATGGTATGAATTATTAATTTTTTTAAAGCTTAATAACTAATAGGTTTTTTGGTATTATTCCACCGGATTTCGATGTTCTGACATCTGCAGCATGTTTCTGAGTTAGTGGCACTTATGACTTCTTGCATGAAAAGTGCTGTCAACTTTTCGCTCTGGTTGACACACAATTGATGCCATAAATAATTTGTAATGGGAACATGATGCCTAAAATCTTGCTTTTTGAAGAAAGAATTAAGCAAAGATCACAGTAAGACATCAGCTGGATACTTGCAGTTGCGATCGTACAAGGGAATCATTTAGCACTGTTACTGTATTCCTTACAAATATAAGTATTTTCGCCGGATGTTTGTCTGCCCTTTTCAGATTTCCAAAAGGCTGGGCCGAGCTCTTTTGAACGCCATTGTCGTCTTACGACTTTCTACGTTCTTAATAACCAATTTTTCTCTTATATGCTTAGAATATCTTTTTACTGGTTTGCAAATTGAAGCGTTTCCCTTAATTAAATGGAATCGCGCAGACAAATAGCAATCACTTATAAGTACCATATGGCTCTCCGTGATACTCTTCAGAGGACGAAATTGCATAAAAAATCGCAGTAGGCAATCTAAAAATCCATTATCTAGATTATATATTTTTTTATTTCATAACCTAATACTACTTGACTTCGACTAGTCTAATCTTTAATGAGTACTAAGGGCTTAAATGTCCTCTTCCAACGATAAGTACTTAGAATAGCTGGGTTGCTGCAACGCGCTCTACATGGTCAGTGCAAACCAAACTGTCTATTCTTTGCTTATTTGCATCCTGTCTCTGTTCTGCCTTATTCAAGCCTTGCCTATGAGGCTAAGTGTCAACTCGACCACCACAAAACCATCTACTCAAATTTTTTTTAATCACAATCTAGTTTATTTACCTCTGCATACCAGACTCTAGAAAACACTAGGTTCCATCCACTATCCATCTTCATCTTCATATCTGCAATCCAACCCTAGTGTTGTGGCTATCTCTATAACACCGACTTGTGTTAGCATCCATACACTGGACGACCGAAACCCACAGGATTTGATAGTGGCAATCCTGGCATTCCAAACATTATTGTGTACACTGTACGTTAACTAGTTAATGATATAACTCCTACTGTTTTGGATATGACGTATTAATTATTAAATGTTACGGATTCGGTGAAGTTAGGTGTGGCCCACGAAATTTCGTAAACAGGTATTGTTTAAAGCAAATGTAGTTGGTTAAAACCATTGTAAACTGTTACTCGTGCTTCAACAAAATCTTTCTTGTAATTAGACTGTTGGGTTGAAACACCGCGACTGATATAATGTTATACTCTTCATCGAGAACAAGTAGATCTACTGCCACGAAAATCGGAGGTTGTTATTTAAAACAAGACATGCAGCCAATTATAATAACATTTCTGTTGTCATTATGTCTATTGTACGATAGGAAGTCTACGAAATACCCACTGTCTACGTTGTGCCGAAGTTCTGTGTATCCGTTTACAATATTTGCCTTAATTGCAGCATTGGTCTTAACGACCAATAAATCATTTGCATAAGTAATGCTGATCTAATTCTGTACTTAATAATTCAAAACAGAGGTGCTGTTGAAATTTTTTCAAGGTAATTATTCTAAAGAGTGCATAAACCAAACGTCATTTTATTTACCTTGTTGGACTATTAAATCATTCAATCATAGAGTAATTATATTTATAATTGGAGCTCTTGCAAAACATGCAGCCATTACAAAAGGTCATTTGATGCTTTAACGCTATTTTTTGCTCTTTTTTCGTCAACGTTTTTTAGTCTAGCTTTAGAATCCTTAGTTTTATTTTATTCTAATTTGAGAAGTGTCCAGCATTCGAAACTTAATGTAAACCAATATTCTGGCTCTCAAATCCCTTCAAGCTGGTCCCACTGTCATCTAATCTATGTCATTAAACTAGTATGCAGGTCAGAATAGTCAAATAGAAATTTCGCAAATTGCTCCCAACTCAATTGATGCTTTGTTGGAAATCGGACATCTGTCACAAATCGTTTTATACATTCTTTTGCCATTACCCTGTTTACTCAGAGGTGGCACATGTGCCTTACACATACAGCAATCTGTATCTCTTTAAGACTTCTCTGTATGCTAAAAATCGCACAAACGCACCATGTAGTATTTCTGGCATTGATAGGTACTCGAACCTTCTCCTAGTCGCTTTAACATCCATGTTATTTCACACAATGCGGCTGCATAAATCACATCTAACCTCTTCTTTTTAAGATTAGTTAGATTAATATTTTTTGAGAAATGGATGTCAGGTTCTAAATTTTGTTTTATACCGAGATTTTACTGGCAACTTTTCCGAACAGTGTCCATCTTGTCTCGTCTTTGTGTGTCGGGTAAGTTACTTCTAGTCGAGACTTGTTTGCCGTTAAATGGTAATAGACTTTTTTTTCATTACTCATTTTGTAATGTCAATTTTCTTTGACAAGCAAATAATTTATGTCGTTCTTCGTTAATTTCTCTAATTTAATTCTTGGAGTATTTAATTTATAACAATTCTTTGAATGTAGCCGGCGTAAGATGTCTAAAATTATAAGTAATGTATTACTTTGCTCTATCAGACATGTGTTATACATTATAGCAATTTTATAGTTGTTAGTGAGTCTGTCCAGCCTTCACTTTGTATTTGCCTCTTTTGCGGAAAAGATGCTTGTGAATTATTGAGGGTGCTCTAACAATTTATTGTGTAAAGCGCTAGTATTATCAATCCAATGTTTTCAAAAGACATTTTAGTTTGGTTTGTTGGCTTAATTGAGTAAATATATTATTATTAAAAAGAATTGTACTTGCTGTAGCCCAACAACTTTTTTTCTTATATTGTCATCTTCTGACAAATTAAGATCACCAGTCTTCCAATGGATACATTGTCTAACACTGACTAGGGCGAAAAGATTGTACATATTCACTCTTGGACTCGTTTCGGAGTGTATGGCCCCTTGTTTGTCGATCAACGTCGCACCTTCTAAGCTTTCACTTTTGTTAGACATATGCTTAGTAGTGGCAAGTATAATTTAATTTAATGCGTATGATTCTCTTTGTATATGTGCGTCTGTGAGTTTGGTGTTTGGATGTTTTCAGTCCTGTTGGCTCACATCTGCCTTATGATGATGTAACTCGTTGATCTCCATTGTACTCCATGGTCCAGAAACACCATTTGGGTTGCATTTGTTGGTCCCATCTGAATGTCTTTTAATACCTTTGACATATGCGGCTTGCAGTTTCTTTTTAAAACAAATTCCGTTGCCGTAATGCGTTTTTTGGTTTGAGTGTAAGTCATCGGTGTCTTATGTTTCATAACAACAAGCAAAAGAATGCCTTTTGCTCCAACCTTGTTGACAGGCAAAAACATGGTTTTTCAGCTAATTTGACTGGGCAATTTTGTCTTGATATATTTGCTGCTATACATCTTCTACCTTTAGCTATAACTTTTGTTTTTACGTTTTTGCTAAATTAATGCTTTGGAATGTTAAAATTTGTTGGTACTGCACGGTAAAACTTATACCTTAACTATTTTTTAAAACATCGTTTTAACGAACGCAATGAATGCGATTTTCTGAACTGTTTTTGACAGATAAATCTATTTTTGCTTAAGTGCTGAGTCGGAAATGCTGTTTTACGTAAGTTATCCACTCTTGATTTGAACCTGCACCCATACGAAAGCGACTCTGTACACCCTTCGTTGTTGTCCTGTTGCTCCATCTATGAGGAAAACATAAGCTTTTTTTCATTTGAATTTTAGATGGAAAGCGAAGCCCACATTCCTGAAACGCGTGTTCAAATCGATCAAGCTCTTTTGTCGGGTAATTCATTTGATCCTTTTACACTTATTCTCTTCTAGGTGGTTCAGATTTGATTGAACAGCGGAAGAATGCCGATTACCTTGCGGACCTACGGATAAGTATCGATAAATTTGGTTCCCTTAACCAACTATCACCAGGAGTTCACCAGCCGTCCTTTCTCGGAGATCAAGCTGTTACCAACTCTTCGCCAGCTCTATCACATCTGTCGTCTCATGTGGCCCCTATGGGGAACAAGTCTCAGAGCTCAACCATCCTTAATTCGGTTCTATCAAATAACAAAATGACCATGTGTACATCCACGGCAGGAAGTCACGTCGACACCTCCGCTGCTAAACTTTCACAAAAGCCTATCGTGCTTGGTCTAACTAATGTCCACATTAGTGATGAAGCCTCCGCCACTTCTGCATATGCAATACCCGAACGTGCATCTAGCCCCGATGAATTGACTTGTGACTCAGGCATGGATGATTTGTCTATGGCGGAGGAAGATAGATTAAGGCTTCATGCTGCTTGCTTGGAAGGTAGACTATCCGTTTATGGACGAGAAGCCGAGACATGGCTTAGGGAACGTGCTGAACTCTCATCGGAGGCCGCATCCCTTCGTAAGCGCCTAGAAGCGACGGAGTCTAGTTTGTGTGAAATAAAGGAGCAGTCTGACCGTAAAATCGCTGAAGCCCTGGTAAAGTCACGCGAGGCGTGTGAATCTCTTCGTTTAACACAGGAACAACTGGCTGCCAAGACGAGCGAAAACGAACAACTATCCGCAAATCTAGCAGCTGCCCGCCATGATTCCATGTCGCTAAAATCCCAACTTACTGATATTCAGCAAAGTAGTTTTGCAAAGGATCAGGCCCTCTCTAGCTTAAAGGAGAAGATGTCAGAGTTGTACGCTGATTTGGAGTCCTTCCGATTTGCCCACTCACAAGCGCTAGACAACAAAACTGACCTCAATGCCGAGTTGGCCAGCTTGAGACGCTCTCAAGAATGGTACAGGGAGCAGCTCCAGTTGACACAGGCCGCTCGAAACCGCCTCGAGGAAGAGCTCAACTCCATGCGAAAGTGGTTGCAGCAGGGCGGAACGTCTACACAGCAGCTGGCGCAGGAAAACGCGCGTCTTGAAACGCAAGTTCTGTCAAATGAAGCAGCTTTAGCTGAAGCCAAGCGGAATCTCTCTCGTCAACTGGAAACAATCCGCTCCGATATCGTTGAAAGGGAGGCTGTTTTTGAAAAGATAGTCGCAGAACGTGATGCCCTCGAATCAATGTGTCAACAAAAAAGCAATAAGGTCCTCGAATTTCAGACCCGTATATCTTCTTTACAGGCGGATTTGAATGAGGCCGAACTCGAAGTGTCCGGACTTTGCTCGTCCCTAGATCAACTCAAAAATACGTTGCAGTGTGTCGAAACTGAAAGAGACAACTTACGCACAATGGTTAACAGCCTGGAAAGTCAGTTAAATCAGCAAAAGTTGCTTATGGACCAGCAGTTGGCGAAGCACAAGGAGGTTTGCGCAAAGCTGATTCGCCTAGAAGGTAGCAATAGCGAACTAACTGCAAATCTGAATAAAGCACTTGAAGAAAAGGCTGCTATCGAGGCTTCTTTGCAGGCTACTTACAAGGAGAGAGCCACACTTGACGCCTGTCTCATTCAATTGAAGGATGATATATCTCGTGTTGAATCTAATTTTTCTTCCCTTCAATGCGAACTGGAGTCGAAAAATTCTGAGCTTTCATCCGTCCTTGTTATTCGGGACGAGCTCTCCAGTGACCTTGAGGTGCTACAGGCCACCCTGCGAGAAAAAGCCGAACAGATTCAAGAGATCAAAACCGAACGGGAACAGTTACAGAACGCGTCATTGTCTTTGCAGGCTGAAAACGAAGGCCTTCGTGACGACATAAAACGCCTCCAGGATTCAATCGGCCCCGCCTGTGAGGATGCGGCTAACAAGGCCCGTCAGCCTCTCATTACTGAGATTGAAAGGCTAAGCACTCTATCAGATAGCCTTCAAACCGAACTCTTAGGTCTACGCGATCAAGTTACCAATCTGCTAGTCGAACAGGAACGTTATTGTACCCTTTTAACTCGTCACCAGTCGCTACAACAAGAATATGATGAATTAAAATCCACCCACACCGCCTCAGTAGAGGAAGCCAATGCAAAACAGTCTGAGCTCTGTCAAAAGTTGCAACAAATCGAGGTGTCGTGCTCCCAAACTTTGCTTGAGAAATCCTCTGAAATAGATTCTCTCACACACCGGCTCGATGAAAAAGTCAAGGAGACCCATGTCCTTCAATCCGAAATTTCCGCAGTGAAGACCAAGCATCAACAAGAATTAACTCAACAAGCAGCCGACTGGGCCTACCGACTTTCCGAACTCGAGTCCCGTCTCCATGCTGTTGACGCCCAGCGTATTGAGGTAGAACAACAACTCCGAGCGGTTTTAGAACGGGAAAAAGATATGACCTTCCAGCACCAAAAGCAAATGGACGCTCTTCGTGCTGAAGTTGCCAAACTAGAATCCCGCCTTTCTAAAGCCAATGACTTGGAACTTAAACATCGCCAGCTACTTCTTGAATTGGAGACTACAAAGGGTCGTGAAATGGGTCTCTCTGACGCAATGGAAGGATTGAAGCGTCATACAGCTAATCTGGAAAGTACACTCTCCCAGCGCGAGGCAGACATTGTGGAACTTGTCGATCGCGCGGAAAAACATTCTATTGCCTCGAAGGAGGCAATGAAGTCGGAGGAGTCAGCTGCGATCCCTTCTGTCCAAGTTCAGCACCCTGTCTATTCGGCTCCTCCAGTTCCTTGTTCAAACTGCCAGCTGCTATCTTCCGAAATTGCATTGCATTCCGATGCGGTTAGCCGCGTGCAGGTCGAGATGGCAAAAGTGCAAGCGGCGCTAGAGTTGGCCAAACAGGAGTTGGCTGCCCAGTCAGCAAAAACTGCCAACGAGGTGTTTGCGCGCCAGCAGGCACTCGAGGCTAAGCGTCAGGCTTTGGAAGAGATCGAGCGGCTGAATATTGAATTGGCGGAGACACGAGAAAAACTCCTGGAGGCCAGCAACATGGCTGAAACCGCCCGGGCTGATGTTGAGTCACTGCAAGCGTTATCTAGCGCCAATGAGCACTCGAATTCCTCCGAAGTACAGGCACTCCAGTCGGTCATTCAAGTTAGTTATTTTCGGCGCCATATAGCGTGCTTTCCATTTGATTTATCCTAAAGCTTGTACGAACCCATGGTGGTGTGGGCACTTTTCGAAGTTAGATAACTTACTTGTTACACGAACATCACGAATGCGGGTCGTGGTAATCTCCGCCAATACTTAATTACTTGGAGGTTACGATACTTTCCCGTCTGTTAACATTCCTGTACTCGAGACCCATGCTGTCGTGAGTGAACATAATGCCTTTTTTATCATTGCTACAATAGGCATAGTTTTGATTTCTGCTTTTATTAAATGAATCTCGTACTTATTAAATGATCATCTGTCATACACCCAACCTTTCCAAAGCCTTGCAGAAATAGGTCTTAATTTTTTCAGAGTAAGTCTTTGATGCATCGCTAAAAGGTTGACGATCGTGTGTCATTGTTTTCGACCATTGGTATTCGTCTCAGCAATGATTTCAACTCATCATCCCGTCGTGGAGATGTGGTAGCCCTCGTTGTTTAGTGACCTTCCTCTTACACTTAGCCATTTTTTTGTTATGTGGTGTGTAGCTACGATGTCGGGTTTTTGAATTTTCCGGCAATCTGTGATAAACATCTGTTGACGTGGGATTATGTGCACTTTAACTCCTATCGCTTATAATGCCACTTGATGAAAAACTCCCAAAGGCCAGGTTACCGGTGTCGGTGATGGTATTGCTTACTCCTCCCCTTTAGGCTATGACGAACCACTTGGAGTCTTTGAAAAAAGAGCTGGCTGAAACCAAACAGGAAGCCTGGCACTATCAGGCCAACCTCTCCGATTTGCAAGGGTCCCTCCGTGGTTTGATTGAACAGAGCCGATTGTTCGACAGCGCCGATTTCCCATCTACCTCGGATACGGACAGAATTAACGTCGTAGAGGTTTCTCAATTGGAGAAACTTCTTGCTGATCGTGCCAGCGAGTCCCTACTACAAAGCAGGTAAGTCAAACTGATGTTTCCTCGAATTGTATGAGGCACTAAACAGCTCCCTCCTTCTTAAAGCACGTGTCGTTGCTTTATTTTCATAAAGGATGAGGTGACAGGCTAAATGGCTGTTAATGTAAAAGATGCAGAATAGCGTGCACACTAAGTGTCAAAATGGTGGATTTTCGAAGACCCATGTTCTGCGTTTTCTCTGTCAAATGTTGTTTTCGAATCTAGTTAATTAAGAAGGGGCATTTTAACTCCATAGAAAGGCAACTGTAAATTCCCTCTTAAAAGTATGTTTGAAGGATGTTTGATTTGCATAGAGGAAATAGCTGGCACAGAATAGCGGTGGAAGCAAATGCCATGAATATGTCTATCGTCGGCGCACCATCGGTACCTCCAGCCATCATCTAGCCGTTCGTGTGCATCAATGAATGAATAAAAGCAGTAAATAGCCTTGCAAGTTCAAGCAAGAACGACTTTACCCCCTCCCACCTCAAAACCTCACAAAACAGCTCCAACCTGAGGATAGTAACACGTCATGTATTCCGCATTAGATTGTGTCTAGCCAATGAGAGTAATGTGCGTGCACGTCCAAGTATTTCGTAGTTAGGCGTCGTGTTCGCTTATTTGCACTCGATATACTTTCAGGCCTTTGGTGCGTGTCAACAATTACTTGGAGCTTTTGCAACAAGAAATCGATTCTTTGGAAAATCAAGTCATTCAGCACGCAGCAGTTGTTCGAAACTCTGTAGCAAGTTGGCGGTAAGTCCGGAGTGATGCATTTCTCAATTGTTCTTATTTTAATTGTTGCTTAAGAAACAACCAACTTCGTCTTGCATTGTTAAGCCCTTCAAGTGGTTCCCCTTTTCACCACTATCTGAAGCTTGAGTGCTACGTAGGTGTACGGTTCTGTCGACAACTGTTTGTGCGGGGAAGACAAAACATCAATGTTTAAGTATTTAAATCCAGAGCACCTCAGACGGTTAATTATGTGGGGTAACTCGGTTCGGTGATATACCTCGGTGGTATCGCCATCGCTTGTCGAATATAATCACTCAGATCTGGATCCTGGCTGAAGCTCTTTTACCAGCACTAGGGTCCAAGGGCTCGATGTCGATGTCTCGGCGTCCAGTTTGGTCGTCATCTTGCATTGTCCAAAATTTTTCGGTGTAACTGTTCCGCGATTTAATGTGTGGGCTTCATTTCCTTTCAATTTATCGGTGAAGTTTCAACGAAGAGAGCCAATCGTGTCAATATTGTGTGTTGCTATCATAAATGTGACTAGTGCCCCTACCGTAAGCGCGTAATCCTGGCATTGACCCACCAGCATTGTCTCTAAACGGGAGTGTGTGTGATAAGCTTCTTTGGTTCAAGTAGCCTATAGAAGGGGCCGTTTTCTGGGCCCATGAGTATAATATGTTAAGAGCCAGAAGTCATGGGGTTTTAAGTTAACTAACTTTAGTTCTTGTCAATGATATTTCGCAAGCTGTTGAGCAATAACTGTGTGTGGTGACTTCTTACTTCTAATTTACAACAACCTAGCGTTTTTTGAATGTTCTCTAGGACGATCTAGGAATGATTTGTTTCACCCGTTTCGGGGCCACTATTACGAAAAACCTGTCTACTTTGTAGTTCTGCTTGCTGTAGTAATAATTAGTGTGTGCACACGAGTATGTTATGTGCATAGGATAAAATCGTGCTTATCGAAATCATTCAGCAGCATTAATGGCAGATAAATCAGTCTCGGTTTTATAAATTTTATTTTAAAGTCCAGTTGTAGCAGTATTAAATGCTGAACGTGTTGAAGCGCAAAAGGCCTCTGGTCGGGTGTGTCGTTCTTGTGTGATGTTGCTCACTCGGTTAATGAAACAACATGTAAACTACGGAGGAAGCTTGGCGTGGTTTTGGTAGACGAGAGTTTAGCTGACCCTTTTTCCAATTGGATTTTAATTTTTTTTTCTATAAAATGATTTTAGACAGTGTTGAGGACGCTAACCGAAGGATTTAACAGTAAAGGTCGTTTTCTTGGGTATGGGAAGTAACTTAGCCGAGATCTTGTGAGTGCAAGTAGTCGAAGCCCCTGTCTAGCAGCTACTAGTACAGAAACAGGATCCCATACGCCAAGTCTTTTGCTGTCTCAGCCAAAAGTCGAGTCCACGTTCAGATGTGCTCACATAAAGCAACGTGGGTGCCCCTGTGTGGAATTGCAGGCGGTGGTACGCTCGTAGATTAGGGGTCAAAAGGAGCGGAACAGGGGATAGAAATAGAAAAAGGGTGTGTATAAACACAAACACTGCAGAATAGTAAAAAATTGTCAAAATCCTGAAAAACAGGCCCTTAGGATGTTGAATTCTTTCAGTCTTTAACGCATGCAATATCTTCAAAAAACCCTTAACGCCACTTTGATGCAAGTGCGTACCAGTCCAAGCTCTTCATGTGATCACTTACCAAACAGCTGGGCTATGCCTTAGCAATAGTTCCCCACGTCATTTTGTCATTTGCGCACTTTGGTACTTGTTCATCCGTTCTCTGTTGACTTACTCCCATGTTCGCGTTCTTGGATATTTACATTCTTTAGATTTTTGTGTTGCGGACTATTTATGCATTAAAAGTATGCTATAAATTCAGGTGGTTTTCGTGTTAAAGGATGCCTTACGCGCACTAACTGTTACGAACAGTTCACGTATTTTTGATACAAAACTTGGCTGAGTAAAGCAGAAACTATAACTCAAGAAATGCTTCTACAAAACTCTTTAAACAGCTTAATTGCGTTCCTTTAGTGTATTATCCTCTCAGACGTCAATAGGTGTGCGTGTAAATACCTTATGTACACCTACATAGCACTCAAGCTTCAACATAAATGATATCTCATTTGGCCACCCAGACAGTGATGAAAAAAGGGAACCACTTAAAGCGATTAACAGTTGATTTTTCCAAGTTCCCCAAACTCAATGTTCTAGGTGACATTTTATGAGTAACGACGGTTTATTCTAGTATTTGGCGAAGTTCAGTGACCTCGGCCATAAAGACTGCAGCCCGTGTAAATAGGCCCTCTGATGTCGAATAGGCCCGCCCACCTTGTAGATGCAGTCTCAGTAAATGACGAATGTCACATGATTCCCTAAGTATGTCCACTTGTTTACTAGTAGCGGCCACATCGCTCTTCGGACTGCCATTGTTCAATTGCCCAAATACATTTGTGATATTTACGTAACGGCTAGTGCCATAGTAAAAGTCTAAGTGGTTAGTGATCACCTCAAATCATTGTCTTGTACGGATACACTCGGGAGTCCAACTTGACGTCGTTCTGGTCCATTAGTTCTACTTGATTGTGACTGATTCAGTGAAATCGAAAGCGACCGTTGATTGCGGCCTCAAATGCACATTAGTACTGATTGTCTCAAGCCCTTGTGCTCACCCCTTCGTGGTCATACTCATTCCTTGCACATTCGTGCATAGAGGCCTCCACTCTTGCATCAGCTATTTGATCACATTAACAACCCTCTAGATGGGCGACGAAGACTTGACTTAATGACATCCCCCACTCGGCTACGTTGTGCTGTACATGTTTGTTGATATTTCAACACAAACAAGTCGGTTTGGTCTAAGGCTTGGTGTCAGTTTTAACTGAGCAAGTGAAGTTTCTGAATTCTGAGGCTGGAGTTTTTTTAAATCCACCGCCTCGTTTTTATCAATACGCAGCGGGCGATGGAGGAGAAATTCACCGCGTGGTTTTGCTGTATTCAGTTAGATTTTGTCAATTTGAGTGTACCAAAATGCAAAGCATTTCAGAACAACCAATCAGTCAAAAACAGGCAATAATGCTACATGATTTCGGTCCACGCTACTCTTCTTACGGTCAAGGTGAACGAAATTTTGAGGCGATTATCTCGCCACGCCCTTACGTGACTTGACAACACCACTCCAAGTTATTCGGTGTCTCGTGACTTTAAGTGACTCTATGTGTGGTTTTTTGCTATTGATGGGTCCTACTGAAGTATCGGGGGTATTGGTTTATTCGAAAGAAAGAAAGCTTTCCGTTTGAAATAATCTTTTCGATCTACTGTTTGTTCGTTTTCTTAAATTCCAAACCGCCCATTAACTTTGTTGTTCGAAAAACCCGCGTGTCATGCTCTTCCTCTTTTGAAAAAAAGATTTGGTTTATTGCTAAATTTGTTTATAAATGCGCCCACGGTTTCTCTTTTTTTGAAAACGAATCGTTTTCTCCCAGCGTAGAATGTGCTACTTCGAAAGTAGTCGGTTTTAGCCAATAGACGGGGAGGCGTCTTTTTTTACTTAAACGGTACAAGTTTTGACTGCAGTGTCTACACAGGCTCTTGCAACATGTGACTCACAGGACCATTGAACGACTAAAGCAATAATGGATTACGCGCTAGCTCTGCCACCTATTCTCTCACATTCGCGTTTTCCTGTGCGCTCGAAAAAAATTTGTGCTTACTTGACGGGACTCCTACTTGCATGCACGATTTGCTAATATGCACCGCTCTAAATTGTCTTTTCTCATGACGGTAGTCAAGTGCTCCAGCTAACACTTCGTTTTCTATGTTTGTGATTTGGTATGGGTTTCAATGAAGTCGACTTAAGCATGGTAATTATGCTAATTGATTGCAGTCGAAATTGACCTCTCGTTTGATACTTTTTAGACTTGGCATTCGGTCAACTTGGCTCCTATTGGTTGTCTGAGTTGTATTTATACGAATTATGTAATTAGTCTACCGGCTATCATTAGACGACCCTTTGCGATTCCCCGTCCTTGTTGTGCACGATAGCTGCCCATCAAATGACGTAGTCGAGGAGTTGTGTTCTTTTTTACTAATCACGCCTTGTTTTTTTGCCTTGTAGTTCAATAGAGAAGCAGGCAATTGTCATTCGAAGCCAAAATCACTCAATTCCTCCTCTAATTCCTCAATAACCGCCATCTGCTTCCTGCCCATTCACCTTTACCTGCCCACCCCCGCCCCACTTAACATCATTTACTTTTCGATCATTTTGAGTATTCGACGTTATTTTCATAGTACCGGTATGTTTATAACTTTGGCCATCGTAACACTGTACTTCTTCCCCCCACCTTAGCTCTCCGATCTTCCCTTTTTTTACTTCCATTGTGCAATAATGTCTTTCAGCCCCGCATCACGGTTGACACCTCTCAATGTCGTTTCGACACTTGTCTCTGCATGCAAAAGTGGTTGAGAACCAAAGTGTAATATAATCATGATAAGAATTGTCTTCGGTCCCCATGGCAATGTCAAAAGCCGTGACATACTTTGTATTTCCCATTACAGAACATCTTCATTAGCCACATTGTGAGGCTATTGCTTATCCACCTAATGTGCTTCATTTGTTTTCATATGTGAACCTTAATAAATCAATCTTAGGTTCGGGTTAAATTCTCCCATGCAGGCCATGGCTTTCAGTTTCTTTTGTCCTGCTCGTTTGTATTAGTCTGTTGACTTAAAATGGTGGTTCCATCGAGGACTTTTGGGTAGAGGTACCTGCGTGGTTTGTTCCTTTCGCGGTGTTATTATAACTTGTAATAAAACCATAATGGTGTGTGGGAAGATTAGTCTCAACTAGATTCGTGGGCCGAGGCTGTTGAGGTTGTTTTACTTTGCTCCTGCTAATCATATTGTGGAAGCTAGGGCATTGCTACTACTTTTTCGCGGAGCGTGCTATAACCTACAAGTACTGTTGGAATGCGCTTTTTCGGGCGTCGTGGTAAATCGGCAACTTGGTGGAACCCGATCA